TATTATTATATTTTAATTATTAAACTGCTCTTAACCCACTTTTTTCCCCTTTTTTTTCTGATTCTCCTCGCCGTCCCACTGGGAAGAGGGCAGGGAGGAAGTGCCCGTGCAGTACTCAGCTTAAACCAAGCCTCTCCCAGCCAAGTTTGGGAGCTTTGGAAGACCAAAGTGAAAGCTGCTGCTGGGGCCTGGCTGAACACTCCTCAGCCCTCATCTGCTGGGACGTGCTGAGGTGTCTGAAGGGAGCATTCCACCGAATTGAGGGGATTTTACCGGGTATGTCTTCATGCATGTGTCCTAGTGTCTGTGTGCGTGATTTAGGTACTGTGCAGCAAGGGCAGCATGGGTGTTGTCACCTCGCATCTGTAACTAAGTCACTGTTGTGACTGCAGTAAATCCAGATGATTAATTTAGCATTTACAAAGTGCTGCTACACCTTGTGATCCACATTGAACTGCAGAGTGCTGCTAGGCCAAAAGCTGTGCAAAATCCCACCCCTGGTGACCTGGTGCTTCTGCAACATCATGTTAAAATCACCTTCTACTGGTATCTTGCATATGTAACCCTTTAGACAGAAATCATTGACCAGGTCTGAGACTAGCACTAGGTCCAGCCTCACCTGGGCTAGGGAGGGGTCTAGTCTGAAGCTTGACTCAAAGGGAGGGTCTCCCTTTCCCTTTTGTTTCTTCAGTCTCATTCTAAATCAGTTCTACCTCTTTTCCTTGGTATGCTTCACCCATGCACTCGGTACCAGAGTGAACCATTGAACTTGAAAGTCACACTTTTATACATTCACATTAAAACTACTTTTGCTACTACTTTCGGTGAGTCCTTGATCCTAAAGCACTCCTTTGACAGGTAACTTGCTGTGTATTCATGCAAATCACATCAGTGCTGTGTGTAGGCTGTGCTCCGTTTGAAGCTTAGAAGCCAGGATATGATTTATTACGTATCCTGTGGTTAAGGCTGACAGACTATGTATTCCATCTGCAACTCTCTTAAGCCCTGGTATTAGCTGAAGAGGAGCCTACTGTATTCGTGAAGTGAGCTGTTAAATCAGAAGTGACTTACAGTGTGGTTTGTCTGGTTTTGGTTAGGTTTGGGGAGTTTTGTGGGGGTTTTGTCACTGGTTTTGGTTTGTGTGTGGTTTTAAGTTAGAAAAAGCAGCCTTAGTTCCGTTGCTGTTACTAAGAAGTTGTTCACAGTGCAACAGCATTAGGATTGTACCACTGAGGATGAAAACGGCTTTACTACAATGCATTGACTTGTATGGTTAAACAGAAACTTGGGTCTGGAGCAGCAGGAGGGGTGTCTAGTTTGTGGCATGCATGTTACTGTGGGCTGCAGAGAACTCTGCCGTGACACAAAACACACAAGAAAAAGGATGGACAATTCACATGGATTTTGGGAATGGCTTAAACGGGAGAAGGTGCTGCTGTGTGGTCTCTGCGGGGTTGGGGAACTTGAGAGAGCTTCTCATGGGAGCCTGGTGGAGTGTTGCACTGGAACAGAGGTGATGCCAGTGGGAAGCTGGGAGAGACGGGGGGGGTTGTGTTCTACCTGCCCATAGCTCTTTGGAGAGCACTGCATAGCCACTGACCTCACTTCAGTTGTGCCACTTCTGGTGGGGAAGAGCCTCTCTGAATATGAAGGAGGCTGTGCACAATGACCCCTGTGAACCTCAAGATCTTGCACGGCTGGGAAGGCCAGAGGTGTTATTGTGCCATGGGGATCGTGGGGAACAATTTGGGAACCACTTGACAGAAGCTGAGCGTGTGGAGGGTGTGTTTAATTACATAACAGTGACTGGTGCATGTGCGATAGACCAGGGGCCCCCCAGCGCCATCCAGCTGCGGCCTCCAGGCACTTGCTGTTTTAACAAAGCCAAAGAAATAGAGTTTAAGCATAAGATGCTGCGGCTTCCATAGCTCTTTATTAAGTATTTGATGAAGTTGCATCATTTCATTACAAGTTGGTTTTATTACACTGAGGTTTTGCTGTCAGGAACCCAACCTGCAGCTTCTTTCACTGCTCCTCAGAAAACAAATGGAGGATTTTGTCCATAAATCCATTCCCCAGAGTGTATCAAGTCTGAGCAGCGGGCTGAAGTCTGAAACTGCAGCAGGGATGCCGTTGTGGGTGGGTGCAGGCTGGGGTTTACAGCTTCACGTTAACAACACGGGGGAAACCAGCGAAGTCCCTGTGGAAGCAGGCCAGGAGCCCAGCATGGAAGTGTGGAGCAGTGTGGGCAGACGAGGTGGTAGCAGTGAGTGCTGATGGACACGTGCCCAAGCGTGGTTTGCACTGATGGTCCCTGGCGGGCGTGAGGTGCGCTGTGATAGGGACAGGTATGTGACAGTCACCTGCCTGGATTCCAGGTCTAGAAGCTTCCCATGTGTTTCATGTATGTGTTATTCCTAGTGTAAGATCGCAGCAGATGGGTGAAGGTTGGTGGGTTTCTTCTTGTTGTAATGCTGCATAGAAAAGGGAAGGCTTTCATTGGAAAGGTGAGGAGATGAATGTGCACCTTCAGAAGTCCAATCTGGTATTGTACCTGTATTCTACCTCACATACTGGTGACCGTATCGTATGGGCACTTGTAGGGCCGTTACGTTAACACAGGCACAGGGCTGAGGTATGAATCCCACCGGCGTGCTCGCTGCTTTGTGTTGTGCATGTTTTAAGTAAATGACATCTTGTTCCCAGAAAGATGCCTTCAAACGTAGATTTCGGGTGGAAAGGCTGGAAGTCAGGTTAGATACGTTAAATTAAGTAGCAAAGGTCCTCTGAGCTGCCCCTTTGCACAGCCAGGCTCTGCGTGTAGTCTCGTATGGTTTAGTGCAAACTGAAGGGCACTTCCTGGGCTGTGTCACAGCACAGAGGACCCCAGCTCCGGCTGGTGAAAAGGGGTTTAGCCACTGATGCAGGCACCAGGAATGGAATCTAAGTTGGGAGATACACTGTGTGCCAGCAGGGGCTTGTGTCCCTGTAAGGACAGTGACAGCTGGGGTTTGGATAGCCACAAAACCAGCTTCACACAGGAATGGGGCTGGGCAGAGCAGTTCCCCTCGCCTTATCCCATAAGTGGTCTTGTGAATGCCACATCTGGTTTACTGCTGGGCACCACAGCAAAGGGGGCTGTAGCACATCTGTACAGGTGAGCCCAAAGCTGCCACTTTAGTGGCACACCTTAGAAGTCAAGGGCTCCTTCACTTTAAGCTTGGTATCAAGCTGCTTCCTAAGAATTAACCCCCTTCTCTCCAATAAAGCATAGCAGTCCAACTGCACACTATCCACAGTTCATGGGGTGGACTTTGTCTCGCTGTTTTGGTACCTGGGAAATGCTTTTGGGGTGCCGGTTAGTGAGGGGAGTGGCTCATAAAGATGTTCTGTTTTCTTTCAAATACAAGCAGTAACGATTTCCCTTCCAGTCTGATGTTGTTGTGTAACTCCAGACAGCTGGAAGGGCTCTGATGTATGGAAGTGTTAGTAAACCCGTTCCGAAGGCTCACAACCTTGAGCCATATGTGAGATTACATTTCAGTTCACAACCAAGAGTTCGTACGGTTCCAACTGATGGCACTGGACAGGAAGGGAGCCTCCAGCCACCCCCAAAATCCCGTGTACCTGTTTGGATCGTCTCATTTTTCATGTAAAAGGTCAGAAAGGAATGGCAGCAAATGTTTAACAGGGAATTACTGTTAACCTGCGTTCAAAGAACGTGATCTGTCGGCTCTTTGAACGTGTTGTGAGCACACGTGTGTGTGCTGACTGTCACAGCAGGAAGTTTTCTTTCCAGTTCTCAGCCAGAGGGGCTGTACTGCAGCCGTGCAGGGGATGGTGAGGACAGGGCTCAGGGCCGGTGGCAGCGTGGTGACACCGTCTCTGGCATGTCTTGTCCTTCACAGGCAGTTCTGGGTTCCTGGGGTAAACCCCTGAGTGCAGGTAAGCGAGGGCAAAGCTCAGGCCCGCCCTGGCAGCGCGGCAACCACTGAACTTGGGCGCATCAAGTAGGAATTGTCACTTTTAATCCGTCACAAAAGAGATGCAACTCAGACAGTATCGTTCAGGCATGCAACATGGCAGAGGTAACAAAATGGAGAGAGAGAGCAGAGGACAGGAAATAAATCTTTGTGATTAAGTAAAAAAGAAATCACAAAACCATGTCTGCAGGCTCAGCTCTACAGCTGGGGGTTTCCTTTATACAGCAGCAGCAGCAGCAGCCAAGTTCACAAGTGATAGATATTGCACCAGAGAGACATGTGCAGTGAGGAGGAACAGAATCACATTAATGTGCTGATAAAACCAGATACGACTTTCCATGGGTTACATAAAGTGCCTTTAGAGTCGGTGCAGTTCCAAACCAACCCAGCCCCGGTGGCGGTTAGCTGTTGGGAGCGAACACGTACAGAGCTGAGCCAAACGGGCTGGCTCTCCATAGTGCCAAATCCCACGGCGCCAGGATCCATCCAGTGCCGCCAAAGAGGGAAGGGAGATACAAAGGTAGGGCCAGGGTTCAGCACGTGAAACGCTGGATGCCAACCCTAGCCCACGTAGTAGTTATGGTACATGTAGGTATTAGCAGTGCTGCAGCAGTTTGGTTACTGGACATGAGATTTGGCATGCTATGGGGTGTGTGGTGCTCCCCTGCCTGGAACCAGCCCCGTATTTATACACAACGCAACGTCCAGTCCGTGCTTCTGGAGCCAGGAAAACACTGCTGTGCTCAGTGAGGAGTTGTTCTCGCCACGCAGCCACGTCGAGGAGCTTCCCAGCCTCTTCCTACCTCCTTCATGGTTGGGGAACACGAGGCTCAAAGTGTGCTTTGAGAGAATGCCACTGGCCTCCAGTCTGGTACGAAATTAAGAAAAATGCTCAGTTGTCCAAGTAGATGATATTTAATTGTAAGGAAATAAAATCTGAAACTGGCTAAATCAATGGAAAAGTAAACATGAGCTGGAATACTATACCTGGAAAAGGATTAATCCCATTCATTGCCATTAGAAATTAGGTAAAATGTTTATTAAGGGCTTTGCCTACAGAGGCACAACATAAATAGAGCAAGTCCTGCTGGACCAGCCTCAGTCCGTGGCACGGGGCCGGCACCCCTAGGGCACAGTTCAACTCCTGCAGTGGGAGCCAGTGGGGTTTGCTCCGTGAAGCAGCGCCGGGCACGGCTGCGCCAGAGTCACCACGGGCCCTGGGGCCAAGCAGAGTGTGCGCAGGGAGAGGTGGGGCAGCTAATCCACTCCTTCAAAGCCTTGTGCGTTCTCCACCGCCATCAGGAGCTTCTCCCGCAGGTCTTCGAAGGACTCGTAGAGAGGTAAATCGAGGCGATTAAAGCTGGGGAGGGGGGGGAGAAGGGAAAGAATCACTCGGTAATCCATGGAAAACGACACATCCTCCTAAAGAGCTAGGAAAGGTCACGGAGAACATCTCGTCGTCCTAACGGTGCCACCGCCGCCGTGTCCTTCACCCACCTAACGCTTGTGTTCTCGCAGGTGCCCCCGAGGCCGGGCCTGCCTCGTGCCTGCTGCTGTCCAGAGCCGGACATGGCGATTCCTGAGCAAAGGAAGCACCTGATGGGAAACATTCCCTCTTTGCTAAAAGGCAGTAACGCTCGGAAAGATGCTCTGAATTCCCAGGCCACGTACTCTAACATCAGGAGAAAAGAACCACCCGAAAGGAGGTCTTGAAATGGTCCTGTTCGATCGAACAGGTAACTGAGGAGTGAATGGAGGAGTTGGCTTTGGAATGTGTGGGGCTGTGTTTGTGTTAAATAAAACTTGTTATTCTCTGGGCCCTGATGATGCTCATGGCAGGACCATGGGCTGAAAGCTGGTTTCCCTCCACAGCACTAGTTAAGTTACTCTGCTGCACACCAACAACATGGATTTAAGGTAAGACAAGGCTGGTATTGAACGCCTTAACCGCTTACAAGCTCTCTACATTAGGATTAAATGAGGACAGTTCGTAACCTCTCATTTTTAGTGAGCTGCCCCAGGATTCAGGGCCTTTACGTAGCACAGCTTCTTTACAGAGCCCAGAACAGAGCTGATGTCTTCACACTCGTATTACACCAAGTACACCATAAACTGCAGTTCCTCCTGCTGGTTTTGCCAATCCCAGAACAGCTGTAAAATAAAGCCTGTTCTATCGGACACCCATTTTAACACACAGGAGTCCTGAGGTGTGAGGACTCCGAGTTGTGACTTTTTAATAGCAGTAGAAAGTCCTTAGCAGAAGAGCCTACTCCTACACTTGCTTTATTGACTTGGCCTTTCACGTGTCCACGTCTTTGCCTTTTAAAGCCAGCCACGGCCACACGCAGTCACAGTTTCGGAGTATCCCACTTGCTAAATGCTGTACGATCCAGAGGTAAACCTCACCCCTTCCCTGGCAGCAAAACAGCACAGCAAAGGTATTTCATGTTCCTCTTTTATGACTTACCATGTGTGAGCTCTGGGCAGCTTATCAGGACTTCCCCATTGCTCTATTGTAAACAGCTGAGGACCATTTGAACCTGGGTGAAAACGAAACATCACACGGAGCGTGAGTAGCTGGGCACCACAGGGATCTCCTCACGGCTGTCTGTACCACTGAAGGTTTATGTTGCCACGAGCTGTACAGCTATTTTGTGTTGGTTGTATCGAGCTCTCAGTCACAATTCCATTAAAGCAAACAGGAGTGTGGTTGGTTCTTTGTGCAGAGGATGTGTAACGCAGCAGTACTGCCCTTTACCCATGAAAGCCCCCGTTACCAGCTCTGCTCACCATAGAGTTCAGCAAATCCATTCATAGGCACACGTGAGGTCCCCGTGACGAACTGCAGCAGCCGGATCCGTTTCTCAGCATCCATCAGCAGAACGGCCTGTTGGAAACGCACAAGGGGCACAGCTCTGCACCCTGCTGGTACTCGGCCTCAGCGGGGGGGTGTCGGGGCTGTGGCCTCCTGCCTTTACCTTCCAGAACCACTGGATGACGGGGTGGTTGGGGCAGTAGCCGTTCTTGTAGATGGTGTGCTGCCTCCAGTCGTTGACGTCCACGTCGCCGAGGCCGCACATCAGCAGCTGCACAGGGAGGGAATGACACGGTTACGGTGTTGCCCGTGTAACCTCCGCTGTCTTCGACCAGCGCGAATGTACACGCAAAGGGGAGGTGGAGCTTTCCCTTAGGACAGTCTGGAGGAGAATTCCAGGCTCCTGGAGCCACACTGTGCTGTGGGCCAGTGTTCTGCTCAAAAGGGACAGGGAGGGGCACCATGGCATCAACCTGGGAAGCTACAGGAGACTCGCAGGCCCTTGTACGCACGTGCTCAGCCCTCACCGATTACACATCGCTGTGCTTTCGGGTGGCAGTACATCACTGGGGAGACAAACCCCTCTGCAAGCGAAGGACCTTGTGTGCAAACCCCCTCACAAAGAGGCAGGCAGGGATGAGGCGCGGGCAGGAGCCCGGCCCTGGGCCTTGAACTCACCTCGAGCTCGTTTTCATCAAAAATCTTGATCAGATCAATGGGCAGCAGCTCGGTGAATCCCTGCGAGCAGAGGCCAGGGCAAAGCCCGTGTCATTCCAGGGCAGAGCCCGGCGGTAGCTGAGGATCCTCAGCCTCAGGGGGGCAGAGGGGATGCAGCGGGGGGGGGGATGCCCTTACCTCGAGGAAGGCGTTCATCTGCTTCTGAACCCTGTTCACAAACCTCCACTGGATCACCAGGCTGCAGGAGACAGGTAAACACATACACAAACACGGGCACAGACAGGGGGACAGACAGAGGGACAAGGGGACAGACATAAGGACAAGGGGACAGAGGGACACAGGGACAGAGGGACAAAGGGGACAGACAGAGGGAAACGGGGACAGAGGGACAAGGGGACAGACGGGGATAGAAGGACACAGGGACAGAGAGAGGGACACGGGGACAGAGAGAGGGACAAGGGGGACAGACAAAGGGAAAAGGGGACAGAGGAACATGGGGACACAGAGGGACAAGGGGACAGACAAAGGGACAAGGGGACAGAGGGAGGGACAAGGGGACATGGGAACAGACAGACGGACAAGGGGACAGACACCGGGACAAAGGGGACAGAGAGGGACACAGAAAGGGACAGACAGAGGGACAAAGGGGACAGAGGGACACGGGGACAGAGAGAGGGACATAGAGAGGGACAAGGGGACAGAGGGACAAAGGGGACAGACAGAGGGACAAGGGGACAGAGGGACAAAGGGGAGAGACAGAGGGACAAGGGGACAGAGGGACAAAGGGGACAGACAAAGGGACAAGGGGACAGAGGGACACGGGGACAGACGGGGACACGGGGACAGAGGGACAAAGGGGACAGAGAGAGGGACAAAGGGACAGAGGGACAAACAGAGGGACAAGGAGACAGAGGGACAAGGGGACAGAGGGACAAGGGGACAGAGGGACAAAGGGGACAGAGAGAGGGACAAGGGGACAGAGGGACAAGGGGACAGAGAGAGGGACAAGGGGACAGAGGGACAAGGGGACAGAGAGAGGGACAAGGGGACAGACAGAGGGACAAGGGGACAGACAAAGGGACAAGGGGACAGACAAAGGGACAAGGGGACAGAGGGACACGGGGACAGACAGGGGGACACGGGGACAGAGGGACAAGGGGACAGAAGGACAAAGGGGACAGAAGGACAAGGGGACAGAGGGACATGAGGACAGAGAGAGGGACAAGGGGACAGAGGGACAAGGGGACAGAAGGACAAAGGGGACAGAAGGACAAGGGGACAGAGGGACAAGGGGACAGAAGGACAAGGGGACAGACAGAGGGACAAGGGGACAGACAGAAGGACAAGGGGACAGAGGGACAAGGGGACAGAGAGAGGGACAAGGGGACAGAGGGACAAGGGGACAGACAGAGGGACAAGGGGACAGAGGGACAAGGGGACAGAAGGACAAAGGGGACAGAAGGACAAGGGGACAGAGGGACAAGGGGACAGAAGGACAAGGGGACAGACAGAGGGACAAGGGGACAGACAGAAGGACAAGGGGACAGAGGGACAAGGGGACAGAGAGAGGGACAAGGGGACAGAGAGAGGGACAAGGGGACAGAGAAGAAGGACAAGGGGACAGAGGGACAAGGGGACAGAAGGACAAGGGGACAGACAGAGGGACAAGGGGACAGACAGAAGGACAAGGGGACAGAGGGACAAGGGGACAGAGAGAGGGACAAGGGGACAGAGGGACAAGGGGACAGACAGAGGGACAAGGGGACAGAGGGACAAGGGGACAGAAGGACAAAGGGGACAGAAGGACAAGGGGACAGAGGGACAAGGGGACAGAAGGACAAGGGGACAGACAGAGGGACAAGGGGACAGACAGAAGGACAAGGGGACAGAGGGACAAGGGGACAGAGAGAGGGACAAGGGGACAGAGAGAGGGACAAGGGGACAGAGAGAGGGACAAGGGGACAGAGGGACAAGGGGACAGAAGGACAAGGGGACAGACAGAGGGACAAGGGGACAGAGAGAAGGACAAGGGGACAGAGGGACAAAGGGGACAGAGGGACAAGGGGACAGAGAGAAGGACAAGGGGACAGAGGGACAAAGGGGACAGAGGGACATGGGGACAGAGGGACAAAGGGGACAGAGAGAGGGACAAGGGGACAGAGGGACAAGGGGACAGAAGGACAAAGGGGACAGAAGGACAAGGGGACAGAGAGAGGGACAAGGGGACAGAGAGCAGGACAAGGGGACAGAGGGACAAAGGGGACAGAGGGACATGGGGACAGAGGGACAAAGGGGACAGAGAGAGGGACAAGGGGACAGAGGGACAAGGGGACAGAGGGACAAGGGGACAGAGGGACAAAGGGGACAGAGGGACAAGGGGACAGAGGGACAAGGGGACAGAGGGACAAGGGGACAGAGGGACAAAGGGGACAGAGAGAGGGACAAGGGGACAGAGGGACAAGGGGACAGAGGGACAAGGGGACAGAGAGAGGGACAAGGGGACAGAGGGACAAGGGGACAGAGGGACAAGGGGACAGACAGCAGGACAAGGGGACAGAGGGACAAAGGGGACAGAGGGACATGGGGACAGAGGGACAAAGGGGACAGAGAGAGGGACAAGGGGACAGAGGGACAAGGGGACAGAGGGACAAGGGGACAGAGGGACAAGGGGACAGAGGGAGGGACAAGGGGACAGAGAGAGGGACAAGGGGACAGAGAGAGGGACAAGGGGACAGAGGGACAAGGGGACAGAGGGAGGGACAAGGGGACAGAGAGAGGGACAAAGGGGACAGAGGGACAAGGGGACAGAGAGAGGGACAAGGGGACAGAGAGAGGGACAAGGGGACAGAGAGAGGGACAAGGGGACAGAAGGACAAGGGGACAGAGAGAGGGACAAGGGGACAGACAGAAGGACAAGGGGACAGAGGGACAAAGGGGACAGAGGGACATGGGGACAGAGGGACAAAGGGGACAGACAAAGGGACACGGGGACAGAGGGACAAAGGGGACAGAGAGAGGGACAAAGGGACAGAGGGACATGGGGACAGAGAGAGGGACAAGGGGACAGAGGGACAAGGGGACAGAAGGACAAAGGGGACAGAAGGACAAGGGGACAGAGGGACAAGGGGACAGAAGGACAAGGGGACAGACAGAGGGACAAGGGGACAGACAGAAGGACAAGGGGACAGAGGGACAAGGGGACAGAGAGAGGGACAAGGGGACAGAGAGAGGGACAAGGGGACAGAGAAGAAGGACAAGGGGACAGAGGGACAAGGGGACAGAAGGACAAGGGGACAGACAGAGGGACAAGGGGACAGAGAGAAGGACAAGGGGACAGAGGGACAAAGGGGACAGAGGGACAAGGGGACAGAGAGAAGGACAAGGGGACAGAGGGACAAAGGGGACAGAGGGACATGGGGACAGAGGGACAAAGGGGACAGAGAGAGGGACAAGGGGACAGAGGGACAAGGGGACAGAAGGACAAAGGGGACAGAAGGACAAGGGGACAGAGAGAGGGACAAGGGGACAGAGAGAGGGACAAGGGGACAGAGAAGAAGGACAAGGGGACAGAGGGACAAGGGGACAGAAGGACAAAGGGGACAGAAGGACAAGGGGACAGAGAGAGGGACAAGGGGACAGAGGGAGGGACAAGGGGACAGAGGGACAAGGGGACAGAAGGACAAGGGGACAGACAGAGGGACAAGGGGACAGAGGGACAAGGGGACAGAGGGACAAGGGGACAGAGGGAGGGACAAGGGGACAGAGGGAGGGACAAGGGGACAGAGGGAGGGACAAGGGGACAGAGGGACAAGGGGACAGAGGGACAAGGGGACAGAGGGACAAGGGGACAGAGGGACAAGGGGACAGAGAGAGGGACAAGGGGACAGAGAGAGGGACAAGGGGACAGAGGGACATGGGGACAGAGGGACAAAGGGACAAAGGGGACAGAGGGACAAGGGGACAGAGGGACATGGGGACAGAGGGAGGGACAAGGGGACAGAGGGAGGGACAAGGGGACAGAGGGAGGGACAAGGGGACAGAGGGACGGACAAGGGGACAGAGGGACAAGGGGACAGAGGGACAAGGGGACAGAGGGACAAGGGGACAGAGGGACAAAGGGGACAGAGGGACATGGGGACAGAGGGACAAAGGGGACAGAGGGACAAAGGGGACAGAGGGACAAGGGGACAGAGGGACATGGGGACAGAGGGACAAGGGGACAGAGGGACAAAGGGGACAGAGGGACATGGGGACAGAGGGACAAGGGGACAGAAGGACAAGGGGACAGACAGAGGGACAAGGGGACAGACAGAAGGACAAGGGGACAGAGGGACAAGGGGACAGAGAGAGGGACAAGGGGACAGAGAGAGGGACAAGGGGACAGAGGGACAAGGGGACAGAAGGACAAGGGGACAGACAGAGGGACAAGGGGACAGAGAGAAGGACAAGGGGACAGAGGGACAAAGGGGACAGAGGGACAAGGGGACAGAGAGAAGGACAAGGGGACAGAGGGACAAAGGGGACAGAGGGACATGGGGACAGAGGGACAAAGGGGACAGAGAGAGGGACAAGGGGACAGAGGGACAAGGGGACAGAAGGACAAAGGGGACAGAAGGACAAGGGGACAGAGAGAGGGACAAGGGGACAGAGAGAGGGACAAGGGGACAGAGAAGAAGGACAAGGGGACAGAGGGACAAGGGGACAGAAGGACAAAGGGGACAGAAGGACAAGGGGACAGAGAGAGGGACAAGGGGACAGAGGGACAAGGGGACAGAAGGACAAGGGGACAGACAGAGGGACAAGGGGACAGAGGGACAAGGGGACAGAGGGACAAGGGGACAGAGGGAGGGACAAGGGGACAGAGGGAGGGACAAGGGGACAGAGGGACAAGGGGACAGAGGGACAAGGGGACAGAGGGACAAGGGGACAGAGAGAGGGACAAGGGGACAGAGAGAGGGACAAGGGGACAGAGAGAGGGACAAGGGGACAGAGGGACATGGGGACAGAGGGACAAAGGGACAAAGGGGACAGAGGGACAAGGGGACAGAGGGACATGGGGACAGAGGGAGGGACAAGGGGACAGAGGGAGGGACAAGGGGACAGAGGGAGGGACAAGGGGACAGAGGGACGGACAAGGGGACAGAGGGACAAGGGGACAGAGGGACAAGGGGACAGAGGGACAAGGGGACAGAGGGACAAAGGGGACAGAGGGACATGGGGACAGAGGGACAAAGGGGACAGAGGGACAAAGGGGACAGAGGGACAAGGGGACAGAGGGACATGGGGACAGAGGGACAAGGGGACAGAGGGACAAAGGGGACAGAGGGACATGGGGACAGAGGGACAAAGGGGACAGAGGGACAAAGGGACATGGGGACAGAGGGAGGGACAAGGGGACAGAGGGACAAAGGGGACAGACAGAGGGACAAGGGGACAGAGGGAGGGACAAGGGGACAGAGGGACAAAGGGGACAGACAGAGGGACAAGGGGACAGAGGGACAAAGGGGACAGAGAGAGGGACAAGGGGACAGAGGGACAAGGGGACAGAAGGACAAGGGGACAGACAGAGGGACAAGGGGACAGAGGGACAAGGGGACAGAAGGACAAGGGGACAGACATAGGGACAAGGGGACAGAGGGAGGGACAAGGGGACAGAGGGACAAAGGGGACAGAGAGAGGGACAAGGGGACAGAGGGACAAACAGAGGGACAAAGGGGGCAGAGAGACATGGGGACAGACAGAGGGACAAGGGGACAGAGAGAGGGACATAGAAAGGGACAGGCAGAGGGACAAAGGGGACAGAGGGACACGGGGACAGACAGAGGGACAAGGGGACAGAGGGACAAGGGGACAGACAGAGGGACAAGGGGACAGATAGAGGGACAAAGGGGACAGACAGAGGGACATAGAAAGGGACAGGCAGAGGGGCAAGGGGACGGACAGAGGGACAAGGGGACAGAGGGACATGGGGACAGACAGAGGGACAAGGGGACAGACAGAGGGATAAGGGGACAGAGGTCCTCATTAGTGTGGGTCTTACCCATCCTCCTGGCTCCAGTTCCTCCCGCAGGGTTTCACCTCACCCCCCCCGGTGCTTCCCCTGCATGCACCCCCCCGCCCGCACGTACTCGATGTACTCCCGCTTGTTGTCGTTCGTCACCGTGATCTCGGAGCCGTTGGGCTTCAGGTCCACCTGGTAGGTCTGGAATGGGCACGGAAAGGAAGGCGAGCGGAACGCCGCGTTAGCAGGGAGCGCGCCCTCCCCGCGCAGCCCCTCCAGCAGCAGCAGGGCAGGCGGCGAACGCCAGCCGGGCATTCCCGTGGGGAAAAGGGGATCCCACAAAGGGCAGGGCAGAGCGAACAAGGCCAAGGTTCAAGGCCGGCCAGGAGCAGGCTGAGCGCGTTCCCTGCGTGACCCCGTTACTGCCGTCCGCAGCGTCCAGCGCCGCTCTTCCCAAAGCTGGGACCTCCTCTGGGTTCCCCCCCCCCCCCGGAAGGGATCCTGGGGAGGGTCGGAGCCGTGCTCCCCCTCAGCCCTGAACTGCAGCTCTGGGGCGCCCCTGCCGTACCTGGCCGAAGTTCTCCTCGTCGATGCAGAACATGAGATCCAGCTCCGTGGGGTCGTTCTCCAGGATCCACTTCAGGGAGTTGTAGTATTCGCTGTCCTGCGGATTGAACACGAGTAGTCAGTGCGCAGGAAACCTGAAGCAGTAAAACCACAGGGGGCTGGGAGGAGGAGGAGGACTCCTGCCTTCACACACGGGTACTACGAGGAGGGGTTTATGCTTACACTGTCTACTCAGAGTCTACTTTTAATAGGACCAAAGGCAGCTACGGCAGAGCTGAGAGGAAGGGGAAAAGGTTTCCCAGCTACTTGTAGGAATACAAGGGCCTGAACGTCCTTTAAGGGTCTTTCTGGTCATGGACCCCGTGGACAGGCCCTGAAAGGTTAAAGGAGAAGCCCCAGTGTCGTCCTCCCCACTCGATGCACGCCCAGCCGGGGACACAGGTGATGAACCAAGTCCATCCAGACCTTCCTGCGGCTGCTGCAGCAGCCCAGGGAACCCGGAGCTCTCCTGCCCCTGCCCAGAGCAACAGACCGTGTCCACGGGGATGGGCTCCAGGCCATGGCCTTACCACTGACTCCATGTCCTTCAGGGTGATGGGCTTCCCCAGCATCATCTTGTAGAAAGGTCTGATGAAGAAGCCTGCAAGAGAGAGGTGCAGTTGAGCTCGGCCTGGCCCCGAGCACCTGCAATACCCCCCTCCAAGTGACTGCTCACGGGGCTCCCCCCAGCCAAAGCCAGCCCCCTCCTTCACTCACCATCCAGGAGCTTGCCGTGGTACACGGCCAGCCCGGCCACGCGGCCGATGAAGGTGAAGTAGGACAAGTGGTCTTCGTTACAGAGACCTGAATTAGGATTAATCTGAAGTGTGTAGTTGTCCCTTGGTTGGGGAGAGAAAAGAAAGAGCTCAGCAACCGCCGCCGCCGCCGGGGCCACGCGCATCCCAGTAACCGCCTGCACCTGCGGGCCGGTACCGACCCGGCAGAGCCACCGTGGACACGCTGGGAAGGCCAGCTCACCCAACCCACGCTAAAGAGCATCCCCTTGCTAACAGCTTCAGCTGTGTGTGCCCGACGCGGGCACCAACCACCGCAGCTCCTCCCTGGAGCTCTGCAATCCCAGCCTGGCTGCGAGCAAGGCAACGCCGAGCAGCGCCCCAGGAAGCGGGCACCAACCACCGCAGCTCCTCCCTGGAGCTCTGCAATCCCAGCCTGGCTGCGAGCAAGGCAACGCCGAGCAGCGCCCCAGGAACCAAGAGATGCTTTAGGAGCTCTCGGGGCCCATCTGAAAGGCTCTCTGAAGAGCAAGGGAGGAGCCCCTGCCCTGGGGGGAGCAACTCTGCCTCCTGTGCACCACATCCCTCGTAAACGGAAGGCTTCTTAATGGCCACTTACGTTGCGGAATACTCAAAGAGACCGTAATAAGGGTTAAACATCTCCTTGGACAAGAGGAAAAACCACTCTCTGGCCACCCCGCCATAGTCGAGTCCTTTCTCGGACTCAAACTCAATCCAGAGCCTGGCTTTGAGCACGTCAGGTCTCTTCACAGACATGATTCTGCGGTAGGACTCCTCAAAGATGTTGTTTCTGTGCAGCTTCATCTCGAAGCGGTTCGGGATGTCGGCCTGCGGGACAGAGCACGGGGTCCCGCTGTTAGCGGTGACACACAAGCCCTTAGGCGAGCTGCTGACCCACTCAGTGGTGGGTGAGCCTCTGATGTGTGGAGCGTCCCCCTTTCCTGCTGTTCTCCAGTGCCCTCTGAGGCTACAGGCCGATGGCAAGCGGGGAACCAGAGCAGGCTGGACAAGGCCTTCAAGATGACCCAGCTCAAGGCCACCACTAACCCACGGCCCCAAGGGCCTGGTCCATATGGCTTGAGAACAGGACCAAGGACGGTGACCCCATCCCTGCGGGCTCTGCTCTGCCCTTCACAGTCCCCTGGGGTGAGGGGGAACCCCTCAACCCTTGCTGAAACCCGAGGCCTTGTAAGTAACACAGCCACTGGTCCCAGGTGCAGCGGGGATGTCAGCCACTGCTGCCTCATCCCTGCTGCACTCCGGCTTGGCCTTGCCTTCCCATACCCTGCTCAACCCCTTGGGGAGCAGGAGGAAGGGCAAGGGTGCTCCAGGGAGTTCCACCAGCGCTGCCTGGCTCCGCTCTGCTTGCTGCCAGCCTCAGGGCCACTGATCCCAGCCCAGAGCCCGGTTCTACTCACTGGTTTCTTCAGCTTCTTCCGGAAATAGTCATACTTCTGCTTGAACTCCCTGGAGTAGGGAACGGCCTGTTGGAGAGAACCACAACCCCCCATCATTCCAGCGCTCCAGCACCCGCACACATGGATACATCCATACCTGAGCACCATGGAGCTAAAGAGCTGCTGCCTACAGCTGGCTTCATCCAAACCCCGCCAGCCAAAACGTGCCCACTGCTCACATGCGCTCATCGCCTACTTACCCTCAACAGGGAAGAGCAAACCCAACCTCCACCAGAGACAGTAAGGATTTGGTGGGTACTGCTGCCCTCCATGTGTCTCACTAGGAGAGGAACACGGGGGTGGCTGTGACAGTGGATCTGAACCCAACATCCATGGAATATGGATGTGCACGGCAGGAAGCGCCAAGCTCGGGTGGGTGCTACTCCACAAAGTCCACAGCAGTTTGAACCTAAGAACAAGTTACAAGCTCACGAGGTAGGTATGTACCAGGAGGACCTCAAGAGGAGCTTCAGGCCCTTGCTTTGGGAGCGACAAGGCTCCAGTAAAGCCACAGCAGCAGCAAACACGGGTTGGCCTCCGAGCAGCGCAGGCTCTGCAGCTGCTCACTGAGGCAGGGCCACGGGCAGACATCACCTTTGCAGCCCAGTGTGAGCGGATCTAACACTGCACAGCTCTCAAACCAGGTGCAAAGTGTGCTTTAAACGGCTTGGAGTCAACATCCACCTTGTTACGTCTTTAATCCGGATCTAAACCACCTCGTTCACAGCCAGCGTCACCTGAAACAGGAGCCCTGGAAACAGGCCTCAAGAGAAGGCTTCCTGGCCTTGACCCTGGCTCCAACTACATCCTTACCCCCCGTCCAAGACGAGGAGCAGACTTAGGAATCCACTCACTCAACAACTTGGACGTGATTGTGGGGAGGATGAGACCGATTCGGGGTCGCAAACAGCAGGCTCCATCCCGTCCCCCCAAAGCCACAAAGCTCCAAGTGCAGCTGCTACAGGATGCTGAACCAGGAGGAATGAAGCGCATATATACACCATCGCTCTCAGTCATCCCCCTCTGATGACAGCACCACTTTACAACAGCCATTAAGTCACCTCGCAGCATGTCTGCACTGTTTAAGTGCAATGTGAAAGGCCATTCGAGCGCTGCCACTGCATCAAAAGTACTATTAAAAGCATTAAGACAGGTCCTGAACGTTTAAGTGGCTGCAAAATGGGTCTGGATCTCGTTTTGGCTTTAAAACCCCCCTAAACCACCCACAACGGAGGGTTATTTCTCATTTCCCAGCTGGACTTACTCATTTCAGCTTAACATTTCTGGGAATCCAAAGGATCTGTACCCTGGGTAGAGCAGCGCCTCGAGCTTTAAGTGCACGGTACCTCCCTCCAGAGCAGTTCTGCTCCAGCAAGCCACTGGTTTCCATCCCAGAGCCACCGGAACGACACCCTTGCCCTTCAAATCCCTGAGGATCCACCCCCAACAGAAAGGGACCAGCAGAGAATGCCCTGAAGCAGCCTAAGAAGGTCGCTCGCCCCGTGTCCTCGACGCCTGAACGTGGGTATGCCAGCACTCGCATTCCCTGAGGCTGCTGCTCTGCAGCCTCGGGGTTCACCTGCACTAAGCAGCGTGGCTCCCAAACCCCAGAGCCCGTTGTGCCTCTGCTCCACTCCGGATCCCCACTCCCAGCTCCCCCGCAGCGGAAAGAGCTCTCTGTGCTGCAGCCATCCCGAGGCGAGCGAGCTCCATGTCCCAGCTCTGCTGGCAGTCACGACCAAGGGGATGGGTAAACAGGACGGCTCCTCCCGTAGCCATCCCAAATCCCTGCTTCCTGGCCTGCTCCCGACCCGAGAGGCACAACCCCAGGAGTCCCAGTGTGTAACGGGCCGTCGCACCGCAGTACTTACTGGACCAGTAATGGCTGGGTTCTGCAGCCTGGGGTCTTCCCACTGGGTGATCTTATTATCTGTAGCAAGAAAAGCAATAGCATCATTACTCCTCTGCGGCCACACCGGGAACCGATGCTGCTCTTGCCCCCGACAGCTGCCTCCCTGCCATTCCCACTCTGGAGCACTCAGTACTCCCGGGCTGGAGAAGGTGCATTCCCCACCTCCAAAGCCCCAGCGCACTCTTTCGGGTTGGAAACCCTCCTTGGAAAGCACCGAACTACAACTGGATCCAGTGGCTTCCCACTGCTTTGAGCTCAACATCTGGAGAGGAACCACGTGCTACGTGGACAAGGCCTCGGAGTCAACTCCTGCAAGGTGAAGGGACCCAAACGCGTGGGTAAAGGATGGGGTTCAAGGTTACTCTTTGCATGAAGAGAGCCAAATGTCATGCTTGGAGAAGACAATCTGTGGTCGAATTTGGAGGGGAGAGCAGCTCTTTTAGGAACACGAAGCCCTCGAGCCTGCTCGAGCGCCCTGAGGGAGGCGAGAGGTTGTGCGGAGCCGTGGCGGGACGTGGGCCGAGTGCTCCTCACCAGATTCTGGTACACCACAGGACCACAACGACACGATGGGGTTGCAACAAGAAGACAAAGCTCCAGAAAACCAAAGGAGGGGCCACCTGCAAGGGCAAGTTCAGCTCATCCAGCTCCTGCTCTGCGAGGGGGATAGGAGAGGTAAGGCTACGCCTGCTCCGGGACACGCTGCTCTGCTTCACCTGCTAAGTCCTGTCGCTGCCGGGGTTGGGATTAACCACCCTCGGCTGGTGCGTTCCTGGGTATCGTAGGTGCGAGCACAGAGCAAACCCCTTTGTCTTTAACCACCGCGTTACGACAGCTGGAAGAGACCCCTACGTTTGGAGGATCCCAAGGTGCTTTTAGAATGGGCTGGGATGTGAGGTGGGATTCCCAAGTGCTAACCGAAGGAAATCCATCAGGATCACAAGGAACTGGAGCTAGCGGTTAAGCCACTGTCAACCCCCTGCTTTATTTCCCTTTCCAGCTTAGTGCTGATGGAAATCCTGGAGGAAGGCCACTGGAATGGCAGCTCCAAACCCCCCCCCGAGAGCAAAGGGAGATCCCTCCTCCTGCCTCTTCCCACTTCACCTTCCTTCAACAGAGTGCTCTGCTCTATAGCAACTCACTCCTCACCCCTGCTTCAATCCGAGAGGTGCTGCCTATGTAGTCTGCAACCTGCAGCTCAGCTCTTCCTTGCCTTACAGGTGTGTCTATGGTGCCATGGACCCATCTTTGTCCAGCTTCCTTCTCCTCTGGTCCCCTGCCACCCGTTCTTGCAGCGTGGGACCCTCACCGGGGCCGAGGACACTGAGGTTACTACAGCTCTTACTACACCACGGGCTGAGTTAACTCACAGCCATGCCCTCGTCAACCAAAACGCTGCTTATGCTTCCCCTTCTGAGCAACTCTTTGCAACTCCAACTGCTCCAAGAGCCCCTTGCTTCCCACTCCAGCAGCCGCCTGCCGGGCTCCTCCTGCTCTCTGCACTGATGAGTAAACCCCCCTTAGAGCGCTAGTGAGTACACTGAGGCATGGTGGAGCCACGAAGGGCGTTGAGGGGAACCCACGTAACGCATCCAGCCCTCTGCCAGTCACTGAGAACTGTTGTGGATCTGCTTGGGAAACGCCGTTTCCCTTCACGACGCCTTCCAACAGGCAGGTCATGTTTTCCTATCAGGCTCCTGGGAAGAGCAGGAGTACACGCATCCTGCAAGGAACAGGGAACACGGCTTCAGTCAGGGATGGGGACTGGTGCTACCGACAGGCCGAGGACGACGGAGGGGCTATGGGGCCTGCAGAAGTTAGACCTGCCTCTGGTTAAAGCCCAAAGACACTACAGGCCGTGCAGATGAGGCCACCAGCATTGATCTCTTGCTACCAAAGCCAGCTGAAGCCTGACTGAAAGCCGAGTAAAGCAACAGGACCAAGCCAGCCTCTCGGGGCTGGCTCTGCCTCCAAACAGCGACGAAAACTCACGCAGGAGTTGTGAGATGCTGGAGTAAGACAGGGCTACAATGAAACATCACTTAACACTAGAACTCCACTAACAGGACTGAGGAACGCCAACGGGCTGGGTGCAGTTTGACATGCTGGAAATAGGAAATAAGATCAGAACCAGCACTGCCACAAGACCTTCCTCAAGGGGAGGTCCGAGTACTCCCGAGTGCTCACCCCTCCAGTGCCCGCACGTGGAGACGTGGCTCTGTGAGCTCTTCTCATCTTATTTTCTATTCCTAGAGTAAAGTGTCGCCGATTCAGCGCAAAATAAGCCATGGGATCATCAACAACACCAACAACGAACCCAAAATATCAACGAGAACAAAAGAAACCACAGAGAAGGGATGTTAATGCTTCACAAGTCAGAGAGGGACAAAGCTTGATGAGCCGATTAAAAGCAAGCTTCCAGGTAGGATACAGTACCGTACGAGGGCACTAAGTCTCTGGTATCAATGTCTCCACAAATCAACACCTGGCTTCCTAAATGAAGAGTAAAATTACAAAGCTTTCACTTCAAGCTTTAGTAGCTCCCTTGGTCTACTCGCTCTAGGACCCGAGGGCTTACTTACTATGGTCTATATAGAAGGTCCTTCCGTCCAGGTGGATTCTTTCCTCCCAACCAGGCTGGAAGTGGGAAACAAAGGGAGAAACCAAGTGAACCACTGCCGCAGCTCGAAGCATTACCCCCACGGACAGAAAGCAGCTCACGGGTGCTGCTTGTCAGACGGAAACCACAAATGCTCCCAGAGGCTTTGTGCTGGGGCCAAACACCTTGGAAGGGTCAAATCCAACGCAGTGCCCTTTAAAGCTCGGAAACTGCTTCCTTCGGGGTTTATACTCCTTGCCTGCTACAAGGAAATCCTGTCCATCACTGCTTAGGACTGAGGGTTTCTACTTGTGAATCATACGTGGATGCAGTGAGTAGGGGCACCAGGACCCCAGCACAGTGGGACAACAGTCCCAGCCCTCAATCCCTTCCTTTTATCCATTCCCTTTCCTCATCTTCCACATGCCTGTAGCAGAGAAAGGAGGCTACATGGCACGCTGTTAGTAAACGCTGTGCTCTCCAGCCTCCTGGGTCTGGCCTCATTCCACCTCTACGGTGTCCAGGAGCTTCAGACCTCTATAAAACATAGATGAGGAACGATTTCCTTTCAATCTGTTGTGAGGAACTCGCGGTCCTTCTTCCCTCACTCATAAATGGAGTGTGTAACTGAGCTGAGACCTGTGACAGGATGCCCACAGACACGTGCCAGGCTCTCCTGATTCCACCGGGGGCACTTCAGGATGCTTTGGAGGAGGCTCCCACCCCATTCCAAAGGCTCGGCTTTGTCCTGAGGCAACAGCCCACAGAAATACACCCAAGGTGAGTTTCCTCCAAGCTCAAAGCCTCAGATGAGCACAGACACATGCAGTCCCTGCAGGAATGAGCCCGATGCCTGCATCACCATCAAGCTTTTGGTGCTTTGGCGCTGTCAGACAGGGGATGAGAGCAGCGTGTGAGCCCACATACAACGTGGGGCTGCGGCCCTGGATCACATGCTGTCGAGCACGTACAGAAAAGACACAGACAACAGCACTTACAGGAAGAGGGCCCAAATCATTTGGGTTCAAAGAGGTTTTTGATCTCAAATGCACTGGGAATTTCAGCCTCGGGTCCTCCTGCAATAGAAACAGGGAAGAGTAAATCCAACAGCTCAGCCTGGATCTAACACACCGGGTTGATGAGAATTAGCTGGAAGCCTTCCTACACCGCAGTTATTATTTGCTGGGAATGAAGGAAACCACACACAATAGATGGAACGCGTGGGATTTGGGGCTTAGGCAGAAGTTCTTTACCATGAGGGCGGTGGGACACCGGAATGGGTTGAATGGAGAAGCTGGGGCTGCCCCATCCCTGGCAGCGCTCAAGGCCAGGCTGGAGCAAGCTGCTCCCTATTGGAACAGGAGGGGCTTCGAAGGTTCCCTTAACCCAACCCCAAACAAATCTCCCTTCCCCATGAGCAGCAACGGCAGCACCAGCCAGGAAACGAGCTGCTCCAGCTTGCTGCTACCGCACGGAACCACGGAGCAGACTGGGAGCCATCCCTACACCACCTCTAGGCCAAGCTGGGCTGCCACATCCCCTTTAAAGGCAAACCCCGGAGGCAAAGGAGGTGAAGGGACGCCAAGTGACGGCGCCGAGCTGCCCTTACCCACGTGGTGGTTTTGGTGTTGTGGTCGATGAAGAAGGGCCGGCCGTTGGGCGCGATGCGCATCTCCCAGCCGGGAGGGAGGAAGCTCTGAGCCACTTTATGCTGGGGCTTCGGGGAGTTGTAAGGGGAGGGCTGAGGAGACTGGGGGTTCGAGAGGGTGTCCTTCACCGCCCGGCGCACCGGGGACTCCTTCATGCCCTGCAGGGAAAGAGGGAGCCGCGGGTGGCGCGCGGCACTGCCACAGCAGTCCCACCTGGGGGATACCGGAACTGAGGAATTAACACTAGGAGTAAGGAGTTGACACGAGGAGTAAGGAGTTGACACGAGGAGTAAGGAGTTGACACCAGGAGTAAGGGCTGGGCCTGGTTTCCTAGGACTTCCCTAGCTCAATTCTGCTCCTGTCGCGGCGCTTCCCTAACTGAGCCCACGTTTAGTTGCTAGGGCTTGAGTATTCCATTAGAGAACAGGTAATAGTATCTAACTATCTAGATACTTAGGACTTAATCCAAGCCTTATCTACGGATTGGTTTGAACCTCATTTGGGTGGAAGCTGCACTTCCATTACAAGGAATGCCATGGGAAAGACAGGGGCTGATGGGCACAAGTTACTCCTGGGGAGATCCCAACTCCATGACCTTCACGGGCTTCCCAACCCAACCCAAGCCATCCCATCCCATTCCACGAGCCTAAGCTGCAAGGCCAGAGGAGGATGAGCCCAGACAGAGGTGATCCTAACTTGGCCTGGGTGTTCCTCACCTCCAGGGGAGCAGAGAGGGTCACGGTGGGCGAGCTGAGGCTGCGAGGCCGCCTGATCTGGGGCTCACTGAGGTGGTTGCTGCTGTTGGCTCCTGACCCCACCATCCCATCTTCTGCCAGCTGCACCAGAAGCAAAACCCGTTAGCCAAGCGGGAGGACCACAGTTAGGCCACCCAGAACGATGGGATCGTTCCCTGTTATACACAGGAGCTTTAGGATCCCCTCAACCCAACCCATTCCACGCTCCCTACCTGCATGATGGGCCGTGTCCACGTGGTGGTGCGGTTGTTGTGGTTGACGTAGTAGGTCCTGCCCTTGGCATCCTTCCGCTCTTCCCAGCCCGAGGGGAGGCCGGGGGTGGTGTGGATGTAGGCCACGGAGGGCTGTGGAAGCAAGGAGTGACTGCATTGGTGCCTTCGAACAGCCAAAAGCACCCTTCAGATGCCTGCTGTTTAGGAGCTCACAGCCCGACGCACGGTGCCTGGTTTTAGCATCAGCTCTTCGGGGGTCTTTTTTGCCCACGGAACTTGTGATCCAGGTTGCCACCTTCACATCCCCCCAGCCTTTCCCTCTGTAGATTAAACATAGAGCCTTGTGTTTCCTTGACTCTCCCACGAAAAGGAGGATGCTTTTCCCTATCCTTAGTACGGATAACACCGCACGAAGTCAAGATCTCCCAGGCTCTCCGCAGCGTGTCCTTGAAGCGGTTGCAAGCGGGTGTAAAACCTGGAGCTGAGCCATTCTGTCATAGTCACAAGGGTTTGCTGTCCTGAAGACACAAACCGGAGCCCCAGCTCCAGCACGGAAAGACTCTGCTCCTACTGCTTCAGAGGGGAGGATGCTCAGGGAGTTACACTCCACACCAAGCCACACGTAGATGAGTTTAAGTCCCTTTCTGGTCTGGAGACCCCACCTGCTTTGCTAAGAGGTGTCCTGGCTGCCAGGGAAGCAATGGGAGTGCTCCGGGTTCTGCACTAGGAAGTGATGGAAGCACAAAGAGCTCCAGGGATTTCTCCTTCCCAGCAGCTGGAAGCAAAGGGCTAAACTCTGCCCGTGTATTACCGATGGCATCAAAGACTCGGGATGTGGTGAATTAAAGCACTGCACGAGAGCGTGAATCCCTTTAGGAATCCTTTAGGAAGAGCAGAAGGAATCTGCAGTGCTCAGAACATGAACCAAACCGCCTCCATCTGCCTGCCTGCCCTGAAGAGGCTGTAGGAAGGCCCAGGGCGCTTTCCTTACGGATGCAACACGGGAATCTGCCGCTCCTTGAAGAGTCCCAGGGTTAAATGCTGACACGGGGAACGGAGCTGCTCCCTCCACCCCCACCTCTCTGCTGCTTCCAAGAAGATCCCTGAGCTCCCTGCTTGGGGAAGAGGAGCGGTTTTTAACCTGAAAGGCGCAGGCTGCTGCACTGAAACGGGATGCTTCTGTATAAATTCAACCCCTTCCCTTGCAGAAAAGCACTCCCACATCCACAAAGCGCGCCAGGATTTGGGTGAATCCCGTCCCCCCCCCCCCGCACCCCGCCATGGGATTCCAAGGCTTGATAAAGAGGCTGGTTACCGTTGGCTCCTCACCCCCTGTGACAGTGGAGGACCGAGCTCTCCTCGCTGGCCCACTCTCCTGGGAAACGAGAAGGCAGGGCACAGTAAGCACACTGAGCGACGGAGAGCCACGCGCCGGCAGCGAGGAAGCAGGCACGCGGATGGAAAGCACCTTAAGACCCTAGCAAAGCCCCTGGAGTCATCAGCCCCCGAGAAGGAAGCCAGGAGCTCACACAAAACCCACCCAGAGATCGGGCTTCCAGAGGGCTTGCACTCAGCTCTCCAAGTGCTTTACCCTAATGCTGATCATAAGAGAATTTAGTCTAAACGGAACATGATTCTCCCCCCCACCAAATACTCAGAATTTACATGCTCTGCCCAGAAAGGTGGTATTTTGCACCAAAACGGTACGTTCTGGTCATCAGTGAAGTCAGATGGAAAAGGCTGAATGGACAGAGGGGATTTTCAGGAAGGATTAAGAGTCAAGAGCAGCACCGCGTGTGGAACACGAGTACGCCCTTAGCGCCGGAAGGGAACTTATCGTTAGCTTAGTAAGGGTGAAATGTGCTGCAGACCTGGGAACATCCTTGGTTTAGAGCAGCTCTGCCAGGGAAAGCAGTGCCGAGAACGAAGAGAAAGACATCCCAGCGACAGCACCCCACATCCACCAAGCGACAGCGAAAGAAGGAGAACACCCCTAGAGCAGGCTGCACCGGCAGTCAGCCTGGTGTAGAAGAGCAGGAAGACAGCAAGGGAGTGTTTGTGCTGGAAAGCCCAGCAGAGAGCAGGGAGAGACAGACCCCACTTCAGGAGCAGTTCTCTGAGCACCAGCTATTAAACTCGACCAAGAGGCAACCACTGTGTGGTTGCTGTAACCAGGCACTATTGGGTTGTAGGCCAAAACACGTGGAACCTTCTGCCACTGACACCAAGGATGCGCATGGTTACGACGTGAGAGGGACCTACAGATCTTGCCTGGATCTATAGGTCCTTCCTAGGCCTACAGAACTGCCCTAGGAAAAGGTGTTATTCAGCAGCAGAGATTACTCAACCACAAGGAAGGAAGAAGTTAGCTTTGCTTTACCAAGGAGAGCTGAGACTGTTCAGCGACCGCATCCGTGACGCTGCAGGATCTTAACCTCGAAGTGGGATCCCTTTGCTGGAAGGAAAGGAGAGGAAAAGACGGATTTAAGTTCAGGTGCCTTAACCCATGGGGCTTACTCACTGATTTCACTGTCATTCAATCCAACCCCCTTAAAAACTCATGTGGGTGTTGCAGTGTCTTTAGCTTTAGTCCTTCACCAGCAAGGTAAAACTCAAGCATTCCCTCCTGGAGCGGTTCAGGTCAACAGGGAAAAGCACTGGGACTGGGACACACATCTTGCACTCATCTTCAGTACCCAAGCTACAACCTGTTCTATGCGTTAGAGGCCAGCCCATGTGGGGGAAACAGGGAAATTCAGCTGTGGAACGAGTGGGAAAGGGGAGGATTAACTGAAGACATAACGGGATGTTACAATGCCACGGAGGTTTGACTGCTAGAGGTGGAGCTCCATGGTGTAATGATCAAGAGGGCACCTATGAATAGACTACAAATAATACAAAAAGGGGGAAACAGGGCATGAAAATATACCCATGTCCTCAAACATACACAGTCCTAAATCTGCCTCTGAGCTTGTTCTGAAGTGTCTTATGTTGCATAAGTGATGTCTTGAATCAGAGCCTCAAGCAGGGAAACGACCCAGCCTGTTTACACCCCTCCTGTGGGTGCTCTCATCTGCTGCAAGGTAACAAAGCAACACCAGCGGGAGAGTCAAACTCCACCTCCTAGGTGAGGACATCAGTGCCAGGAGCACACTCTGCTCCAGATCAGTGCTTCACACAAGGAGGAGATGATAGATACAAAAGAGAGGCAACTACCCCCTGCTTCTGCCCTGATGGGAAAGGGGCTGGCTGACAAACAGACCCACCAGCAAGCCTGAAGTGTTGTCTGGTGTTACAGAGATACATGAGGAGAGTGACAAAACACTTCAACACACATACAATCACCCCTCTGCTACCTGCTGGCAACCTGGGGGGGGGGGGGGGTTGGTTTACTATGGACGGATGGAGAGCCACCGGAGGGGCTTCTAGCATCAACTCCCTGTGTAAAGCCAGTTTAGAGCTGGGGGGCTTGGGAAGAAGCCTGCACCCATGTTTCCGCCATGCTTAGCCGTGGAGCTGGCCTCACAAGCCTTTGGGATGCTGTCACTTTAATGGCTTCTCCCAGCTAGGGCTCGCTCCCAGCTCTAACCCCTTGCTATATACGAGGAGGTGAAGATCCTGCTCTAAGTACATGCTTCCATACAGCCACGTACAGTTAAACACTGGCCAGGGGTGAGACGGGAAAGGGCAGCAGCGGATTTTCCTCTTTCCTTTGGGAACAGAGAGCATCAAGCCTCGAGTGAACGCTCTCTTTTACTAGAGGTGGAACGGCAGCAGCGCCTGAGCTTAAACTCCCCCAGAACACGTTAACCCCAGCCCCTTCTGTTGGGCCGTGGTGCCAGAGCATCGTAAGCGCACGCTCCGGTTTTCCTGCTCGCAGGAATTCCCAGCCCCGTGGGTGCGCTTCCCGTGCTTCCCACTAGCAGCAGACGAGAGGGTGAGGTAGAAAGAGCAGCGTGGCACGTACAAGCAAAGAACTGAGCTGTTCCCCATTGGAATCAGGAGTGACCTGCAGTCTTCTGCTCAGTTCCTCAGATAGCTCCTGAGGACTGGGCCGGGCCACTGGAGATGCAGGAGGAGGTGGCAATGACAAGCTTAGGGAATCTCCACTTGCACTTGCCTCCTCTGAAATGGTTTCCCAAGGCTACCAAAAGAGAAGAAACTCCGTTAAGGCTTCAGCACGACACCAGGCTCCTTCCCTCCCCTCCTGGCGGGGAGGCTCGGCAGCGAGGCGCTAAAGCCGGGCCCTGTACAACACACAAACACACACTGCCCGCCGAGGAGCGGCCACAGGGAGCACCGCGGGTCGGGCTGACTGCAAAGAGCCTTCACGGGGAGGACACAACGCGGTACGATTCCAAACAGAGAACGAGGGGGACGGAGGGAGGCAGGGAACGGGGCTCTCCCTACGCCGGTCCCAGGGGGATGCTGCTCAACGGCTCTCCGAGTCTGACTAAAAGCTTGGGGGACACAAGTGCTCCTCTTCAGCTGGGATAAACCCAACAGCTTCTGCTTCTCCCTCCTCTAGACCAAGGCACTGAAGGGAACGGGCTCCAGGCAGCGTGGTCCCCTTCTTTGTATGACTGACTCCGCTCTTGCCCCAAGCGGAACACGGGAAGCGTTACTACAGGTAACTCCTACACGCATTACTGTGTGTAACTCTTACACGCGTTACTACTACAGTCATTCACTTCCAGTATGAAACGGCAGCTCGGAGTTTAGCTCTTCAACCCAAGACCATTCCGTACCTCAGGAATGTCTCCGCTCTCCATGGGCTCCGGTTCCAGGTCCTCACTGATGTGCCTCCGAGAGCGGAACCGCCGATGGGCGGCTTCCTGGTTGATCTGCCGGATGTTGTTGTCTGACTCGGAGCCCACATCACTGCATGGGGGCCACGGAAGCATGGGAAGGAGGAAAGGAGAAGGAGACCATGAAGGTTCAACCCAACCATCTACTTTGCTGCTTTCCAAACCCCGGTGATGATAAAAACCAGGGAATCATGGAACGGTTTGGGTTGGAAGGGACCTTAAGGTCATCTAGTTCCAACCCGGGCCACCTTCCACTAGAGCCGGTTGCTCCAAGCCCCATCTAACCCGGCCTTCCCATCCACCCCTGCCCGGCTTCCTACAGGACGTAGCTTAATCCCTCGATCCAAAGCCAACAGAACTGGAAACCCCTCGCAAATGTCACGGAATCCCAGGTTGGGAAGACCTCAAGGATCACCTGCTCCAGCCTTTCTAAGGCAAGGCATTACTTAGACTAGATGCCCCACTACTGGGCAGCCACCACTTCCCTGGGGAGATGACTCCAATGGCCGGCTGCTCTCCTGGGGAAGAAGTCCTCTCTTGCACTGAACTCCCTCCCACCCCCTCAGACTTCCCGGAATTTCCCAGAGCATCCACGCGTACACGGGGCCGGGGGAGCCCCGGTCGCTCTTCCCTGAAGCTATCCGGACTTGGGCACATCTGAGGAAGCTCTTCCATGACGGAAGTCTACCTTCGGATCCATGGCACGGCACCAAACCCGGGCTCCACGCCTTCCCGAGTGAGCAGCGTGCCTTTAACAGCGCTCCACGGAACTCCAAGGCAGGCTTTTCCCACTTACATCAAGCTCGGGCGATGCCACTGAGTAGTCCTGTTGTTGTGGTTGACGTAGTAAGTCCTGCCCAGGTTGTCCACCTTCTCCTCCCAGCCCGGAGGCAGCGGCGGCGGCGGTAACTCCTCCTGGCGCTGAGAGGCCGACTCACTGGAATCCACCACATCCCATCCGTGCTTGGGAGACGAGGAAAAGCAGTTAAAGGAGGTCTCTGCTGCTTCCCTCAGCGGGGAGCTGCTGGTTCTGAAGCTCACAGGTACTGCAGCATAACCCCCCCCAAACAGGACAAGCTCCTCTGCTACAACCCTCCTTCAACCTCTCGTAAGGGGGACGCTACCCCAGGATTAAGCCTTACCTCAGAGTCATCCCTTGGCTCGCTGCTGTCATCCTCCTGGCCACCGTTTTTGGGCATGTAGGCCATCTTCAGCCTCAAGAAGCCCTTTACGCGGGACTTGTGGCTAGGAGACAAGGGGACCCAGCTCAGGCAGCGGCCCTTCCGCAGCAGCAGAGAGCAAACCTTAAGTAAGACCCAGTTTACACCACACAGTTCTCCCCTTCCTCACCTTCTCGGCCTGAGCAGGAAGTCCTTGAAGGTGTAGGGCCTTTCCATGGTGGGGTCTTCCGTCTGGAAGCACAGAAGGGAACGGGACATTAAAGGATGGAGACACCTGAGGAACGTTCACACCACAGATGGGGTGGCAACGCTGGGAGCCGTGCCCACCAGTGCCACCACGCAGCTATGGAAGCAGGGAGCCCCATCCCCATGAATCCAGGCTGCCACCGTGCTTCCAGCTGCCAGGAAAACCGGACAAGCGGAGCTCCAGGACAAGCTTCACGCCTGGAATCCCTCCATTGCTCCGGACACAAAAGCAAAGAGAGGAAACATCTCCCCCTCCTCAAACCAACCGACCAGCCCTCCTGCTAAAGGAATCCCACCCCTCCCAACCCCCGGTGTTTCGCCTTCAGCTCTAAGGCAACGCCGGGAATGCTTCAGGAATACGCAAGTGGACTTCCTATGGGAAAACGGGACCTAAGAGGAGGAGGGAGATGAGGCCAGGGCAGCGCCTTACCGGGAGGTGACTGAGGGGCACATCCACCTGACCCAGGAAGTCGTCTCTGGTCTGTCAAAGAAGGCAGAAAGGAGCCGTGAGCCAGCAGAGCTGAACGCTGCCCCAGCCCCCGGGCAGCAGGGGCTGGGAGGGCCCCGCTGGCTCAGCACCACCCGAGCCCACGTCCGCCACTCGCCTGCGGGTTCTTCCCCATCCCCTTCCCTTGGAGGGAGGGATCCGCCTCCCACGGGGGCAAGCAAGGGACGAGCTCCACCCCTAACTACAGCCCATGCCCACTGCACAGCCACGGAGGTGGCAGCATAAAGAGAGCCCTTCAGGTCTCCAAGATCTATGGGAGCTTGAAGGTGGGTGCGGTGGCCTCGTCACCCATGCGTGCCTGCCACCTTGAGGAGCACAGGGACCTACACGTGATACCTCCTGGCCACCACGGAACAGAAGGAACAGGAGAGATGAGCAGAGACGAAGCCTGCCAGGAACAGGAGCTCAACAAAGCCTCCAAAGAAACAGGTCCCATCCATCTGCTCACTGCCACTACGGAGTTAGCCCCGTAGCACACACGGACGCAGGCCACGCAGGCCACGGTCCCTGTCCTCATCCATGGCACCAGCCCCACACCGGGGGAGGAACCACCACCCTGCTTGCTAATCCACGGGATCAAGATGTATGGGATGGTTACTCACCCCACATGATGCCATAGTACCTATCCTGCGCTCATCTCACCCAAACACGATGGAGTCTGTGACTCACCTGGACTGGGAATGCATTGGAAAGCCAAGGGAATGCCATTTTGGCAGCAGATGAGGTAGGAAGGACTCAACAGCAGCGATGGCTTTGCTCAGCGTGTACCTGACGAGCCATGTCCTAAAGCAGCCCAAAGCCGAGTGCGCGCCAGGGAGACGAGGTCAGGGATGACTCCAGCGATTCCCAAAGAACCTGCTGCCTGTTTGCAGCCCTGCCACGCCGGGAATGCCAGGACGTGCATCCTGCGGCTCCCAGGCCAAGCCTACGCGTTCCTCACGGCACGGCACGAAGTGTAACATCAAACCCCAGCCTTCCTGGGATTACAGCACCCCAACAACCCTGCTTCCCGTGCAAAAAACCATCAAGGGATGCCCAGGGCACAGCCACGTGTATCCCCACGGACAAACAGAGTGCAGCTGCACCGAGGAGCCCCGAGCCTGAGGGACCCGATGTATCCCGCGAGGAGAGATGCTGTGAGTACCCTATGCAGCCAGGAAGCTCGCAGCCGAGCAGGAATGCCTTCAGCGCTCCCAGCACCTCAGGGACTCCACGGCTACCTGCATCCCATCCACCTCGACCTGCTCCTGCCTAACCTCAAGTATCAGCGAGCCACCACAGATGCTCCTGCTCCTTCCCTTCTGAACCGCAGCAACCCGCACTGCCTTCCCCGGGTCAGACACGGAACAGCAGCACCCTGTATCCCAAAGAATCCCAGCCTGCGCTCCCCGCGTTTCTGGAAGCTCCAACCCTGCCCTGCCCTGGCTTCAGAAAGGCACGAGCATCGACGCCAAGCAACACGGAAGCGGATGAAGCCATTCCTGGGACACCGGGATGGGGCGAATGGAGACGCTGGGGCTGCCCCATCCCTGCTTCAAGGCCACGTTAGAGCAACCTGCTCTAGTGGAAGGTATCCCTACGGATCTGCATGAGCTTTAGGGTCCTTTCCAACTCAAACTACTCTGGGACACGGCGAGTTCCACCCGAACCCCACTTATCCCAGTGCTTTCCCTCCCAGCGGATCGCTTGGAGCCGATCTCTTCCAGCACAGCATTCCTAAGGGAGGGACTGAGCAGGGCGAGCCCCAGGCTGAGAGCTGCCCGCTCCCTGAACGCGGCCCCACCACTTTCTTAGGGCCCTTTGTAATCCCCTGAGCACAAAGAGGCCGTTGTCGGCTCCCTCCCGCGCTGCGGTGACACACGAGAGTTTGGAAGTGGCTCCCAAGGCTCCAGCTCCCAGCTTCCAAACAACGGGAGCGCTTGTTCGGGGCCACAGCACGCACACGCTCCGCGGCCGATCGCAGCCAAAAGCGCTTGCAACGAGGGCTCCCACGTAAAATCCTTCCCTCCTGGGGGGGAGCTCGGGCTTCCCGGCGGATTTTCTCCGGCTCTGTAATGGAATACATCCTGCTCCAGTGGCAGAGAGGAGCCATGGGAAAGCTCACGAACACCTGGGAGCGGCGGGAGGCTGCAGCCACGGAATTCCCACATTCCAGCTTTTCCTGCTGGCAGGAATGGCGCTACCCACTCCTTCCGCCACAGAGCCTAACGGGAGGCCTGGGGAGGGACTGACTGCTCCTTTGACCCCCGAAACCCGAATCCTTAGGGATCCGTTGTGCCTCCCTCCTCCCGGCATGCATCCACTGCGCGCTAAGCACGCGGATACGCCGGAGTAACAGGGCGCCAAGCAGCTTTTCCCTGGGAAAGCTGCAGAGTCACGGCAGGGCCTCCGTGCTGCAGCGCCACGAGGAGCACACGCACACATCCCGCAGGCAATTCCATGCCCGTTCCCACCAGCTCCATGCCCACCGCTCCAGTTGCCATCCGAGTTGCCAGAGTCTTTCCAGCTGATGTAAGCCTGAATCCAGCCCCGGGGGGGGTGACATGAGGATCTCGAAATACTCCACTGGACGTAAGCAGGAACGGGAGCGACGTTACGGGACGCTGGAAGCGGAGAGGATTCCTGCCTTGCTCCCGGGCAATGGAGAACATTCCAGCACTGAGCACGGAGCGCCCGCCGCCCCTCTCTACTCACGCGCTACTCCGCCTTGTACTTACTGCGGTGGTGGCCGGGGCGGGAGGCTCCTGCTCCTCAGGAGCCCGGCTGACAAGGATGCGGAAGTGCTTCTGCTCCGGCCGGATCCTGAAGAGGCATCCCCGAGGAAGCCGCTCCTTCGGGCCGGGAGAGGCGGCAGGGCCGTCCCCGTGCGCTTCCGAAGCGGAGCCGTCATCGCCAGGCTTCCCTTCCGCGGGCAGGATGGGGTGGGCAGGGCTCCCCTCCAGCCGGATCCGCGGGTACCGCACCAGCCTGTCCCCTTTCGTGCCGGTAAAGCCAAAGCTGTGCTCCCCTCCCGGCCCGCTCGTGGGGGGCTGCTGCAGCTGGAGCACAAAGAGCTGCTTCCCTGCCGTCGCTCCCGCGTCGGGCACATGCTGCAGGGACCAGCGCCGGCGTTCGGGAACGGCGCTTCCAGGCTCAGGAGCGAAGGGGAGCAGGGTGACCCGAGGCACATCCGCGCCGGAAGCCCGATGCCGGATCCTCACACCGCCGACGGCTAGAGCCGAAGCATCCTCGCCCTGCTGCTCGCGAGGAAGAGGCTGGAACCCCCGGCGAGGACAGCAAAGGCTTCCGTTAATCCCTCGCCCCACGGCCTCCAGCAGCCGGGGAGGGGAATCCTCCGGAGAAGAAGGGCGGCTTCTCGCAGGGGCTTTGCAGGGAAGCGCCTCCTCGGGACACCCCGGAGCAGACTCCCCGGGGCCGCTGGCAGCCGCGCGCTGCAGGGAGATGCGCACGGAGGAGCTGCGGGTGGGCGGCGCGGCGGTGCCCGGGAGCCGCGGGATGCTCCTCCGCGATGCCATGAAGGGATCCGCTCCCGTCTCCGGGGCCAGCGCCTCCGCCTCGGGGGCCGTGCTGCTGCGGGCCGAGGCGAAGTGCAAGCGGAGGCGCTGGGCCATGCTCGGTGCCCTCGCGGGCGGGGGCCCCGGCTACAAGGCAAGGCGAGAAGCGAGGGGCCCATCTGCCCGGCCGCTTGCCCCCGGAGCACTGCGGCCCCGCGAGCGCCGGATAGCACGCATAGCCCCGGCGGCATTCCAGGCACGACCGGGGGGCAGAGCGCCCGTGCGGCGCGGCCCACGGGGTAGGACGGGGGCTGTCACGTGGGGCTGCGTGCCCCGCGCCCAGCTAAGCTGCTGGGGGGGGTTTGTTTTCCCTGCTTCGCTCGGGATGAGGCCGGCCCCTTCCCAGCTGCTGCTTTTCCATCAGGGAAGCAGCTGCTGGCAAACCCAAGCCCCCGCCCCTCCTTCCCTGGGGCTCAGCGACACCCAAAGCCCTTGGGTTCCATGCTGAACTTGAGCCTTTCCATGCGGACGAGGAGAAGTCCCTCCGAGCTCCGTGCTTTGGGATGAGGAGAGCAGGGCTCCGCTTCCAGCGTGCGCGGCGCTCCCGGCGTGACTCAGCCACAGCTCCCCCGCGGGCTCCAGCAGCCTCGAATCCTGCAGAATTCCAGCACGGAGCACGCTGGGATGCCCGGCAAAGCTTCCTCACCCCAGCAGCAGGGCGGAAGAGGCCGGGGGAAGAAGGGGCTGCTCCAGGTTCCTCCAGGCAAGGCAGGGACGGCTGCTGCCCTCGTTGCTCTTTAACACCGCGCAGGAAGCCCTGCCCGCTCCTGGCCTGGCTCCAGGGGGGAATTGAGGGCTGGAAGCAGGGCTGCGACGGCCGGCATGAGCAGACTCGGTGCTCCGAGGGGGCTTCACGGCAGTCACGCTCCCCAGCGGCTCCGAGGCTTTAAGGTGGAGGCTCGTTGCAGGCTCCCTTTGGAAGCAGGTGCTTTTCCAACGCCAGCAGAGGACTGGGAGCCCAAAGCTCCGCGGAGCTGCCAAGAGCCAGCACAATTCCCTATTGTGTGAGGTGGATTATGGGCCAGCAAGAGGAGAAGCACGACTGGCTGCCCCACAGCACCAGCGCTGGGGCGCTCCCTTCCAGAAGCACAGGCGCTGCGAGTTAGTTTCTCCTTATTTCCCAGACAAATCCAAGGACACAGACCCTCTGGCATCACGTATTCCCTATCTGACCATGCAGACGGATGGCAAAGGCTGCGAGTGCCTTGCTTCTTTGGGAACGGGAAGAAGAACCAAAGCTCTTGTGCTGAAACCCACACCAAGTACTGCAGAGCCAGCCACCAGCACGGGGCATACATAACCTGCCAGCGCTACTCACTCCGCGTGTGCCTGTGTGCAAACCTTACGTAGTGAAGCACAGCACAAGCAAGAAGCAGGAAGATGTTGGTAGAGCTCCCTACAAGAGCTCCTGCACCACCCAATGAAGTTCCAGGCTGAAACCACCACCGGTGTGCATGGCAGAGAGCCGAAACCGCTAACAGAGAGCGCTGTCATCACCTTAAACCTCCCCCCGTGAGTCCAAGGAGCAGCTCTGGCCAGCACACCCCGAAAAAGGGATGCAGAAGGGACCAGGAGACACTGAGGGAGCTGCTTCCTAAGGGACCAAAGGTTGGGACTTGCTTGGAGTGAAGCCCCAGGACCAACATGATGAGGTTTCCACCTCAGAACGGATGGGTTAACGTTGGTTCATGCCTGCCAGGCCCCAAGCAGAGCCTTTTCATGCCTCCACCTGCACTTCTTCCCTCACTGCCCCAAAGCCACTTTTCGATGTGCTGCTCTCACCAGATCCACGCAGGACAAGCACTCACCAGCCTGTTCTCATCAAACACCTCGAACAGGAGCCGATGGTTGGTTGGGTTCACCTGGGGGGACACAGAAACAGGGTCAGGATGTTCTAAACAGGGGTTTCACTTGAAGCAAGAGTAGAGAGAAGCTCCAAAAGGGCCCATTTTGACCTTTTGAGCACATAAAAGGCCAAGAGGAACGGCTTTTCCCGTCCCCCCTCTCTCCATTTGGGTTTTATTAGTTCCTGCAATGCTAATTCCACAGAGCTCTGGAACGACCCCTCGTTATTTGCCATGGCATTAACATTTCCAAGGCCCAGCAAACGATGCTCTGCTAAAACCACATTGCCCAGTGAAGGGAATGTGGCATTTGGCAGATGAGTTAACCCTAAGTAAGAGGAACGGCCCGTTCCTGCTCAGCCTGATGCTGATTTCTGCTTCCAGCAGAGCAATGGCATCAGGACGAGCACCTTTCAGGTTAAGTAGCGAGGACTCGGGTTAATGATGGTAAAGGAAAAGGCAACTCACTCGGAAGTAAAATTCTTCATTCCATTTTGGATTCAGGGTCTGCAAAGGGAAATCAACACGTTTATATACCCTGATGCCGTTAGATCTGCTCCAAGTGCTGACTCCTTAGGGAGAAAAGGGAGAGAGGAGCGTGGCATGAAGACCTGGGGGGGGGGGGGGAACTGCCATTAAGTTAGGGAGAAACTCTCTACTGAGTAAACCAAATGTAGGAGGCCACTTGAGTCAGCGGAGCCCAAAATAGCTGCTCAGTATAAATAGGATTCTGTGAGCAAAAGGCACATCCCTGAGAAGTGACACAAAGCAAACCTGAAGGCTTTGCATTCTCAAGGCTCATCTGGAGCCACGTGAAGGGGGAAAACCCCCGGGCAAGGGGAGGACGAGGAGGACGTACCTATAGTGTAAATGGACCGGGAAAGAGAAGGAAAGGAAAGGTGATTTCCTGTTCCTTCTCTCCTGCGGAAGGTATTAACAACCGGCCCTAAACCTGCAGCCAGACTGCAATCTGCAGGGAGCTGAGGCATGAAATGGTACCTTGATAAAGCACAGAGATTACAGCCCCGATGAGCAATGGGGCAATTCAGCCGTGGGCCAGTTTAAACCCAACTCTGCTACGTCCTCCCTGGCTGCGTGCCAGATCCTTCCCTCATCCTCTGGCAGAGCTGACAGCACACGCTGGCTCCGGGGTGCTCGAGCAGCAAGGGAGAGCCTTGGCTGTCAGCTGAGCACCCCGACGTGGCCACAGGGGACTCCTCCTCGTGCCCAGGATGCTGCTTTAAAGCGACTCAGTTCCCCGATACTGCCGTTCAATGCCTTTGGCTGCAAGGAAGCACTCCATGCGGATGGACAGCAGGACAGCCATCGGAGAGCTGTGCCAGCGATGCAAAAGGAGAGGAAAAGGGGAAAGTGCAGCTCCTTCGGCCTTCTGGAAGGCACTTCCGTGAGGCCTCAACCCCTTCCTCCCTGCCAGTACATTCAACTGAAGCAGAACAAGGTAAACCCTCTACAAACCCCTTGGAGCCCCGATACTGACAGCGAGGGCGGTGTTAGGTTATAGGATGCTGCTGACCCCTCCCGTTCCCAAAGGGAGGGGACATAAAAAGGAGTTCCACACCTACCTTCTTGATGGTTTTAGTCTGCACGAGAGCGAGCTCCCTGTTCTCATCTGCTACGTACAGGGAGAGCTTCACGTACGGGTCGCTGCAAGAGACACGGCGGCGGTTAAGGTGCAACGCCAGGGAACAGGAGCCAGCCCTGCGGCGTTCCCAAGGCTACTGTCCTGGGGAAGCACTTCCAATGGGACTCAAGAGGACCAAGCTGGGCGGCCTCTGCTATGCCTGGCCCTTAACCCCCAGCCACCTCCCGGGACAGCCCGGTTACGCCACGAGGAGCCCAAGGGCTTACAGCCAGGAGGAAGCAAGCTCCAAAGGCTTCCTGCATGGGGGACGGAGAAGGCACCCAGTGTGAGCAAGGTCACCGGGGCCAAGAGGGCGTCCACTGAAAGGGATGCACGGACTCAGCCTCCCTGCAGTGGCACGAGGAGTCATTGTACAACGCCCACTGCTAGGAGTGACCCCCTTGAACTGGCCTCCTACAAGGCACCAACGTCATAAACCACCAGTGAACGCAACGAGGGGCGGCCGTGAAACCCCCTTTCCCTCTGGGATCTGGTGGAGGACACCAGAAAAGCCCTGCCTTAACCCCTGGGAATGAAACAGAACGGGGACTGAAACAGAAAACACCCTTCAACCCACTTCATTCCAGTGCTGCTCCAAGCTGAAGCCAGCCCCCCTCCCCTAAGGCACGTGCCTCCCTCTATTCCCGAGCTATAGGGAGCTGACTCATGGAATCCCAGCCTGGTTTGGGTGGGAAGGGACTTCGAGCTCCTCCAGCTCCAGCCCCCGGCACTAAGGAATCCCAGTGATGTACGGATCCAAAGCGACGATGGAAACAAAGCCCCCAGTCCCACTGAATAAGGTTAGGATGGGACGCTTGAAAACAGCTGCGTGAAGAGCAGTAACACGCTGCTGCAAGTAACAAGCCCTACAGCCGCTTTCCCTGGCGGAATTCCCGATTCCTGCTGCTGCAAGAGGGAAAAGAGGCAGGAATCAGCCGCAGGGAACGCTGCAGCTCCTCGCTCCGGCTGTACCCCAGGAGCCCCAAACCCCTTCCCTTGCAGTCCATTGTCCCGCTCGCTCCTTCCAAACGCTCTTCCCGGAGGCTGCTGTGTAGGGAACGCCCTGACAGAGGCTCTCTGGGCATCGCTCCCTCCATCCCGCTGTTTCCCACTCCCCCCAGTGCCCGAAGCCCTAAAAGCCAGCCCGAAGCCAACCCAACGCAGCTGGTCCACAGCCCCAGTTTGGGAACGGAGCAGGAATTCCCCACGGCTCCCACCACAGGATCAGACAATAGGGCAGGCAGCAAAGGAAACCTGGTGTCAGGGTGCCAACGGGAGCATCCCAGGGCTGCAATCCTGCACTCTGCCCTCAAGCCTGAGGTGCTGGGCTCCCGCAGGGCTGGAGGGGGGGAAAGAACCCCCATGGAGGGCTCGCACCCTGCCCTCAGCACCCCGGGGCCTGCGCTGCTCCCGGCACCGAACAGGCCTGGCTGCCCCAGGCCGGACGCCACGGGGGTCACTGCGGCTCAGCCCCTTCCTCCTTGCCTGCTCCTTTGAACACACCCCATGTTGTCCCTTTCCGCCCCATTCCTGCCCTTTGCTTACCCAGACACCCACCCCAGCCCCGGTACTGCACCGCCTCGGAGCCGGGCCCTTTGTCCTGCCCCACATAAACCGGGTTCGCCCACGGAAGGGCTCCTGCTCCTTGCTGCTCCTCTTCCCATCAACAGCAGCAGCATCCTGGCGGTCTGGGGCCTGGGACACAGCACCCCAGGGAGCTGCACTGCGATGGCACCCACAGCATCACCCACATCACCCACAGCGTCACCCACATCACCCACAGCGTCACCCACATCACCCACAGCGTCACCCACATCACCCAAGTCACCCACAGCATCACCCACATCACCCACAGCATCACCCACAGCGTCACCCACATCACCCACAGCATCACCCACATCACCCAAGTCACCCACAGCATCACCCACATCACCCACAGCGTCACCCACAGCGTCACCCACAGCGTCACCCACATCACCCACAGCGTCACCCACATCACCCAAGTCACCCACAGCATCACCCACACCACCCACAGCATCACCCACATCACCCACAGCGTCACCCACATCACCCACAGCGTCACCCACATCACCCACGTCACCCACAGCATCACCCACACCACCCACAGCATCCCCCACAGCATCCCCCACATCTTCACCCACAGCACCACCCACATCCCCCACATCACCCCCGTCCCACCTGGGTCAGCTTCACGGGAGCCAGGGCAGGGCAAAGCAGGCAGGAAGCCGCGGCTTTTCCTCCTTCCTCACCCCCCCTTAGGGACCCCCTGCACCCGGGTACCTGCGGGCGCAGCCCCGTCCCCAGCTCCCCCCGTGGCGACTCCATTGCAAGCCCAACGAATCCCTCGGGACCGGGGGAGCCCCGGCCCGGAGCCCAGCGCTTCCCTGCCGAAGGAGGCCGGGGTGGGAGGTGCGGCCATCCCTCCTCTGGGGCCCTCTGCTGCCCGCCCCGACCGCTGCTCCCCAGGCTCGTATCCACCCCAGCCAAGCTGTTACCCGCAGGCTGGATACCTGCTCATCCCAACACCTGCCCGAGGCTGCTCCCACTGCCCTGGAGCTCGCATTGAAGCGCAAAGTGCTGCGGATGCCACCCCAAAGAGAGCCCTCCTTCGGGGCAGCAGGGAACAGCTCGGCCTGGAGCTGAGGCAGCTCCCAGGGGGGCTCCTTCCCTTCCCCCAGCTCTGCTGCCACAACCCCCTCCCCTCTTCCCCGCAAACGGGGCTGACATTCCCCATCCATCACCAGCTACCTGGGGCCACAGGAACCCACGGGGTGGGGGGGGTCACCCCAAAGCCTATGGGATCGCCCGGCCAGGCTCACAGCAATAAAAGCCCGGTTTCCCCTCACACATCCCGGGTTTGCAGGGACGCTCACCCAAAGCATCCCAAGCACACGGGATCCGGGTGAAGGGAGCAGCTACACGGAGGAGGGCCGGAGCAGGCGCGGCGCTGCCCCGACCTTCCCGTTCCCAAGGCCACAAAGCAGCCCAGCAGGGACCCGACCTCTCTCCTACTTGAGCCACGGCCATCCCGTCCCGAGGCTCCGCGGGATGCAGGCACTGGAGGGGTCTCCACCTCCGGGGACACACGGACACTGCTGCCGGGGACGCCGGCCCCTGCGCTCCTCCTGCCCCTGCCAATGGCCAGGCTCAGAATCCACGTGGATTCCAGCAGGGAGCCCCGTTTCCAGCAGCCCTGCTCCCCAGGCAGCGCAGCTGGGACTGAGAACAGCCCCTGGTGCCCGCGGGAGCCAGGCAATGGGAGCAGAGAGGATTTGCGCCTTGCAGGCTCCAGGGAAAGAGCAGGTGAAAGCCACAACCCCGGAGGCAACCCATAATATGCTTTGATGTCATGACAAGTGCAGCTTCCTGCTAACGCGACTCCAGCTTTGTTCACCCTCCAGCCACAACGAGCACTCACTCCCTGGGCTGGAAGGCGAGGGCAGCAGAGCAGCAGCTTTCCTGGGTCCCAAGTGGGAACAAAGCAACCCAAGTCATGGAATCACGGAACCAGCTGGCTTGGAGGGACCTTAAAACCCATCCAGGTCCAACAGGGACACCTCCCACCAGGGCAGCTTGCTCCGAGCCCCCCGCCAGCCTGCCCTGGGACGCTGCCACCTCCATCCAAGCTGCTTCCTCCCCTGCTTAGGGTCAGCAGCAAACGTGGGGAGCGAAACCCAAAGCCTTTGTGTTCCCATGCTCTGCACGTGGGTTTGCTGCCAAATTCACTGCTCTGGTGCCAATTCCCCCCCCCCCCCCCCAATTAAGGTTTAAATTGAGCTAATGATGGGCTGGGAAGCAGCACCAAGGGAAGACCCACAGGGAGCCCGCTCCAGCACGCAGAATGAGTGCTTTCACTATGGATGCAGCCCTGGGATGCGCCCGGGAGCAAGAGGGCTCCCAGCCTGGTCCTGCATGGGGGAGGTGGGGGGGGCGTTTTGGGCACTGCCAAAGCTTGAGCTGCTCCTCAGTGCCCTGTGGAGCCAAGGCAGATGGAGAAGGGCTCGCGGTGCAGGGACAGGGCAGGCCTGGAGCCCACCCGCTGCCCATAGACAATGTCCCCGTAAGCAAGTCCAGGGCCTCTCATCACCTTTGTGACCGAGCCATTCCAGAGCATCCTTGCTCTGGTTGTGTACATGAAGGAGCCCATGGGTAACACCTACCTGGCCCCAAAGATGTCCTTTTTGGCCAGGTCAATGCCGGACACCACCTTCACCCTCAGGATACGAGACTCCTCCTGCCAACAAGAAGGAAAAGGGGGTTGAGATCCATTCTCTCCTTCATTGCGGGCACCAGAAGGACGAGTCGCAGCCTTCAGACAGCATTCCTGCCTGAAGGAAAACCTCCTGGAAGGAGACGCTCACTTCACCTGCTGAAGTACAGCCTGAACCCGACCGTGAAGAGCATCCAGCTCCCCTCAGGGTGAAGGACACCAGAGCTAAGGGTACCAACACCCCGGTAAGGGACACCAACCGGAGCCCCACGTTCTAACACCATAAACGCTGCTTTCACCCCCTTTTTCCCCCCCTCCAGCCCGTTTCTTTCTGCTCCACAAAGCAGCCCCCAAGCCCAGGAACAGGTTCTGCAGTCACCGGCGCCGGTTCCACCCCGATAAGTGCAAGAGGTGAGGTTGAGTTCCAGTAACCTGAGCCTGCTCCTTGGAGCCGTGTCAGGGAACAACTCCCTTTCCCCCCCAGCTTTCTCCTGCAGCCCTGCGCTCCAGGTAGCAGGAATGGGGCCACGGGTTTGGTGCCTGCATCCGAGGGGGTTGAGATGGGGAGGGTCAGAAACGACACAGAAATCCGCCCTGGAAGAGCTGCTATTCCTTCACGTGGTCCAAAGGGGTTTCTCATGGGGGAACGTGGGATTCCTTCCCCAGAGAGCCAGCAGTGGGGCTGAGAGGTGACAAAGCACGAGCACCGTAGAGCCAGGGGATGCTCTGGGATGAAGGGACCTGGAAGCTCATCCGGTTCCAACAGGGACACCTTCCACTCGAGCAGCTTGCTCCGAGCCCCTTGAACACTGTCGGGGATGGGGCATCTCCCATTGCAGTGCCCCAGCACCCTCCCAGGGACCAGCTTCCCGGTATCCCACCTCAACCTCCCCTCTGGAGATTAAAGCCATTCCCCCTTGCTCCATGCCTCGCCCAAAGGCCCCCCTAAACCCGGCAGCAGCAGCTCACTCACTCCACACCCCCCAACCCACAAGAGCTGTGCTCCAACCCCAGGCCTGCAACTCACACCTCCGCCTTCTAACTCCACATTCCCACCGGGAATTCCGCAGGCGCCAGGACAGGACCCCCCCGGCCGGTTTAGAGCCGCACGAAGGGGTTCAGCACCCACGCTGCGGGGGGCACAGCACCGCACACGGAGCCCGGGACGCGGAAGCCCAAGGCTGGGGTGGGAGGGCAGCCCCATGGCCTTGCCCTGCCGCTCCGATGGCGGCCCCAGATAGGCCCCACAGGTAACTTTCCACTGCCAGGGTGGTGGGAACGCCGCAGGGAGCAGGGAGCTCGGAGGCAGTGCTTTGGGTGCAAAGAGCCTGGAAGGGGAGGGACAACAGGGCTCTGCCCCGGGTCACGGATACCCATGGACTGCAGGCACACAGAGCTCCCGGTGCGCCAGACATGGGATGGGATGGAGCAGCCCGAGGAGCAGGACCTGGGGTGCTGGGTGAGGAGAAGCTCAAGGGGAGAGCTTAGAGCAGCTCCAGCGCCCGAAGGAGCGATGGGAAACGTGGGCAAGGGATGCAGGGCCAGGCCAAGGGCAATGGCTTTAACCTGCTCCGAGGGGCCAGCCCACATCTCCCTCTGGGACACTGCCCACAGGCAGGCAAAGCACGAGGGAAGGACAGCGGGGCCCAACCGCCTTCATCCGGAGCTCTCACCGCAGCCCCAGCACCACGGGAAGCCGCCTCCTCCAAGGCCCAGCAGGCTGGGATCCTATAGGAGATGCTCTTCCTGAAGGCAAACTCCACCTGCCTCCCTCCGGAGAAGCCGAGGGAAGGGTTTAATCCTGCCTGGCAGCAGGGAAAGCATCTTCTGTGTGGCTGCTGAGCACAGGAACAAAGCTTTGTCGAGGAGATCCTGGCGCACGTGCCCAGGGCTGGGACCATAAAGGAACTCTTACGTGGCCAAAGCCAAAGCCCAAACCCCACGGGCCCTTGGCCAAAGCCCCTCTCCAGGTCTCCCACAGCCCCTTTCGGCACCGGAGCTGCTCTAAAGGGCTCCCTTTACGGAGCCTCCTCTTCCCCCGGCTGCCAACGGCGTGTCAGCTGCTGCCAGGAGCATCTTTATGTAACCGCAATCCATCCCTCGTCGGAGCTGCAGTGCCTGTGGACCACGAGCACCCCCGGAGCCTTGCGGCGGGAGCAGCATTCCTGACCTGACGTACCGTCGGGGCTTTCCCCTGCTGTCCACGGACCGTCCCTGTGCAGACGCACCAGCAAAACCAGGCCACCGTGAAGCTGGATGCGCGGCTCCACGTTCCCCGCGCTCTGGTGCGTGAATCACCCCGTTACCCAGCCAGAAGCGACGCCAGACCTCCCAGGGACCGTTAAGAATCCATGGTCCTGCCGCAGTTCCAGCCCTCCAGGGCCACCACGCTGCTCGGGCACTGCCGCAGCCTCCTGTCTCCAGCAGGTGTGGCTCCGGATGAGCTCCTCAGCAGCACCTCCGGAGGCAGCCCTGACCCTAAGCTCCCATCCCAAAGGATTCCAGCCTCGGGGATGAACCATTCCCAGCCAAGCGATGGGGAGGGATCCCCTCCCAGTGCGACGGGTAGGCTCAAAGGTGGAGTAAAGGGGGCCCAATGAACGTTAACCACTGAAGCTTCCCACCTTTGGGAATGACTTTGCCTTCTTCCACTCTGCTCACCCCCAAGGAAGCCGCTCTACTGCCCAGTGGCGCTAAAGGCTGAGCTGAAGCACAAGGAAACCTCTCCCGAGCAGTATTCCCGAGTCATTCCTCGAATGCCAAGAGGCAATTGTACTTAATGGTGTCTCCATCCCAGCTTCCCTGGCACGCGGGCCTCCTGCGGCATTCCCACCGACGGGAAGGCTTCGATACCTCAGTGCTGATGGATGCAATCTCCTCCCAGCATCAAGGTGGGATGCGGCCATCCTGGCCTTCCCTCCTAAAACCCATTCAGTGCGGGCAGAAAACTCTTCCCTGCTTCCCTTCACTGAATCCACATCATTCCAGACGACTGGAAGACTGCTCAGGAAGAAGAACCCCTTTAGGATCAGTCACAGGCAGCAGCTCCAGCCCCGCTCCAGGCTCAGCAAGCCCAGGAGAACCCTCCAGCCTCTGAGCTGCTCACTGATGGGTGGGAAGGCCCTGGACCTTCCCGCAGGGACTCAGCCAGTTCCAATGGGAACACCTCCCCTAGAGCCGCCTGCCTTCGAACACCAACCCCTGCCCCACACCGAGGCCCGGAGCAGCTCCTCCCGTCCTGCTGGGAGCTCCGGAGACTTCCCCCGGTAACGCAAGGTGCCCAGGTCCTAGAAAGGGGAGACAAACCCGCAGCGTCCTGCCCGCACGCAGGGCTGAAGGGCCAGGGATGGCACGGGGGAAGCTGTGGGTAAGCACAAATAGCCCTGGACGCGCAGCCACCAGCTGGGATGTGGCCTGGAGCGACCTGGGCTCGTGCATGGGGGCCCTATGGGGTCCTTCAACCGAGGGGATCCCAGGAGGTCGGAACTCCGCAGGCGTGAGCAGGCCAACGCCTCTGAAGGGGACGGCTGCTCCATGCCTCCTGCTGTTCACAGCCCAGAGGATTCCAGCTCGGGGCTGAATCAAACAAGCGGTCCCAACCCCAGCTACTCCTCTGGGATCGGGGCTCTGCACCTCAGCCTCCACTCTAGCAGCTTAAAGCCATCCCCCCCGGCCCGGCGCCGCGTCCCTTGCGAGCAGCCCTCCTCCGGCCTTCCCAGCTGAGCTCATTCGGCGTTCCCCTCCCGCCCGCTCCTGTTTGCAAAACAAAGCCCGGGCACGCAATTCCCCGGGGAAGCCGGCACGGAGGCGACTGCAGCCGCACAAGGGCTCTGCTCAGCGGATGCCGGGCTCGTTCCACGCCTCCTTCCCAGGAAAACGGCATCCCCGCAGAAGCAGGCTAACCCGGAGCTTGCATTCACCAGCACACAGTGCCCTCCAACGGCCAGCCCGTAATACGGATCCTGGGAACGCTGAGCGGCCGAAACGCGGTCGGATCACGGCCCTGGGTTGAAGGAACCTTGAAGTTCCCCCGGTTCCACCTTCTGAGCCCCATTCCCAGGCTCCCGTGCTACCCCTGGAAGCCAGCGCACTCCAAACGCGGAACTCCCATGGCTTGCCATCGCAGCACCGCAGCAGAAGCGCCTGGCTCTGCCCCGCGAGGCGATGCCACCCATCACTTCCCCTCTCCCTGCTTCCCAAGCACGCAGAGCCGGCGCTATGGCTGCGCCGGCCGGGCAGGAGGAGCTCCCGGAGCCCCAGTCCCAGTTAACCAGGAAGCACAGGGATAACTGGGCCTGGACGCACCCAAAGGCACGCGGGAGAGCTCGGGAACGTGAGCGCCGGGTCCTGAGGAGGAGACAACGTCCAGGAGCGAGGAATCCCTGGGGAACTGCTTCCACTGGAGCCCGCTGCTCCAAGCCCTGCCCGGGATGGGAAGCCCCAGGTGCTTGTATCCCATGTGGCACGTGAAAGCCGCTCCCCCTTGCCCTGTTGCTGCCCCAAAGCCGGAGGCTGAGGGATGGGATCCTCCAGGATTCACCTCCCATCTCCAACGCACGCAGGAGCGAGGCTGCCAATGGAGGTTAAGCTGCAGGGAGGGCCTGCAGAGCTCCCTCTTTGAAGGCAGGTGCAATCCTCCCTCCTGCTCCTTCGGGATAGCTCGACTGAATGGAAGCACGACTCGGGAGGAAGCTGGGAATTCCAGGGGATCCAAGTGCAAGGCCTGGCAGGTGAATGGAGCTCAGAAAGAGAACTGGAACTGGAGAGAGCTCTTCCGCAGCCAGAGCTGTGCTCCAGCTTCCAGGCTGGAAAGCATCTTCCAAAGGCACAGGAAGGGAATCTTCCACCTTGCATTCCCAAGAATCCCCCACTGATGTCAAGGAGAGCTGCATCCCAGGCTAAAAATGACCTCAGGATCTGCTCCCACCACATCCCACGCGTCCAACGCTACCCATCCTCAAGGATGGGGACCCCGGCACCACGTGAAGGCTCTGGAGGACCTGCCTGCTGTAACTGGCAGCAGTCAACGCACGGCTGGGTCAGGAAGGCCCACGGCGCCCATCACCCCACAGCAGGGCACACGTCCCCACTGAAGGTGTCCCTTGGGAATACCGAGCTCCACTGGGGTGCAGTGGACCTGCCTTGCTCTCCGTGTCCCCCTTGAACACCTTCCCCAGGGACTCCCCTCCTTCGCTGCACCTTTCAACAGCGGTTTCAGGGTGTTGCTGTACTGAAACAACAGCGCCGGTGCCACCCCTGCGCTTCCCCACACCCTGCCCTCCTCTTTCCCCTCCCTTCCACCCTCTTCCTGCTGTGTCTGTAGCTGGCTCTGCTCTGCTCCGGGATGCTTCCAGCACCCCCGGGGAGCTACAGGGAGAACAAGGACACCCCCCCCCCCCAATTGCTCCTCAGGGGAAGGGTGCTCATGGCTGCATTCACGCCATGGAACCACGGTGGAGACACCAGCTCCCTGCTCTGCAGCCCTGCCTGCTCCTTAACATTCCGTGCGGGCAGCAGCAGATGCTGAGGAAGGAGGCAGGGACAAAAGATACCCGGGAGCACACTCAGAGCCAGCAGCCCCACCCCCCCCCCCCTCGAGGGACAGCCACAGCTCCCAGGGTGGGTGCCCCAGCGCTGGCCCATAGCACAGGACCTGCTGCTCCTTCAGCCCCGGGCAGCATTCCCAGGCTACCTGCAGCATTCCTGCCCATGGAAGCTGGCCAGAGCGAGCCGCCAGGCAGGGAACAAGCAGGGAGGGAAGGCTTCACGGATTCTCCTCTCCTCTCCCCTCCCTTAAAGCAGCTCTCAGAAACCAACAGAAGCAGAACGAACACCGCCCCCCCCCCGCAGGAAAACACCCACTCCAAGCAGAGAACCTCCTTCCCAATAGGAATTCGATGGCACAGCCACATTCGGCGCTGCTCAAACACAACAGGCAATCAGATCGTCTGGCAGCTTCCACCGTCCTCTGGGCTAGGATTTGCTGCTCCCCATCCTGACCGCGGATCCCACAGGAAGCCTGCGTCCTTACCCCCGCCATCTCCCACTGGGATTCGTGACCACAACCTGATGCTAACAGCGAACACACGCAAAGCGCAGCCCGAAACAAAGCCCGGGCCTCCCGCGGGGCTCTGCCCCGCACGGCCATGCCCCCGCCGGGCAACGGCATCCAACGGACCTGAACGGAGACCGGCGCAGGCCGCCGGGCACCGCGCCCCGCACCTGCGGGGCCAGCGGCTCCCCCCGCCCGCGGCTGCGGCCGGGCACGGGCCGGGGCGGGGCGAGCAGGGCCCGGACCGACCCTCGACCTTCGCCCGCACCGGGAGGGAAGGGGGGGGGGGGGGAGAACCGCGGACCCCAACCCCGCCATGGCGGCGGCGGCGAGCGCGGGCGGGCCCGGCCCGGCGCTGCTCCCGGGCGCGTCACGTGCGTACACGAACACACACGAGCGCACACGAACGCACACGAACACACACGAGCGCACACGAACACACACGAGCGCACAAACCCGCACACAAACAAACACGAAGGGACACGAGCGCGCCCCCGCCGCGCCTCACCTCGTCCTCCGAGAGCCCGTAGACCGGTTCCACCGCCGCGGTCGCCATGGAGCCGCTCCCCACCGGGGGCTCCGCGGGGCCGGCCCGGCCCAGGTGCGCCGCCCGCCACCGCCTCCTCCTTCTTCTCCTCCTCCTCCTCCTGCCGCCGCCGCTGCCTGCTGGCCCGCGGGGGGGGGGGGGTGGGGGGAAGAAGGCTGCGGCCGGGGGCGGCGCTGCCCGGGGCCGCCGCTCAGGGGCGGCGCTGGGGCCCGCCCGCGCTCCCGCCGGCAGCGGCCGAGGCGCAGCGCGGCCACGGGAACGCGCGCTCCCGGCGGGCCCTGAGGCGGCGGCGGCGGCGGCGGCGGCCGGAGCGGGCTGGGGCGCGGGAGGCACCGGCAGCGCGAGCACGGCACAAAGCGGGGGGGCGGCGCCGCCTCAGGGCCCGCCCCGCCCCGCGCGGGCACCGCCGGGCCTGGGGGCGCTGTGGGGAGGGGAGGGGAGGCGGGGGGAGCTCGGCTCTTATCGGCCGCGATCGGCTGGGCTCGGCTCGGATCCGATTGGCCCAGCTCGGCTCGGCTCCGATCGGTTCGGATCCGATTGGCCCAGCCCGGCTCGGCTCCGATCGGTTCGGATCCGATTGGCCCAGCCCAGCCCGGCTCGGTTCGGCTCCGATCGGCCCGGCTCCGATCGGCCCGGCTCGGTTCGGATCCGATTGGCCCAGCCCGGCTCGGTTCGGCTCGGCTCCGATCGGCTGGGCTCGGTTCGGATCCGATCGCCTCCGATCGGCTGGGCTCGGTTCTACCCGGCTCGGCCCGGCAGCCGTGGTGCGGCCGCGGCCGAGGGGTCCCGGTGCCCGTGCCCCGGTCGCAGCGCACGGTGCTCCCCCCGCCGCCAGCCCGCGCTGCCGCTGCTCTCAGCCCCGTTTACGCCTCTCCAGGGCCCCCATTGATCCCTGCGGCGCTTGCGTCGGCGAAGCCACGTGGAGGCAGCGGCACGGGACGGAGCCGGTGCCAGCGCCCCCCGACACAAAGCCCTTGGCGCGCCCAGAGAGCGGCCCTGCTATGGGGGGGCTGAGCTGTGGCCTCCCCTGGCCCCCACACCTCCTGCTCAGCAAGCTCCGCCAGTCACACACGGACCCATGCGGTGCTGTGGGTTGGAGGGGACCTTAAAGCTCCTCCGGTTCCAAGCTCCGTGCGGGTATCTTTGGGCCTGGCGCCTGCCCCACAGAGGCAAAGGGAACGGGAGAGCCCTCTTTCTGGAGAGAAAGGGAGGAAAAGGAGGCAAGGCAGGAAGGAAGGGTGGGTTTGACCTCTGCCCAGCCGTGAGCCAAAATGGCAGGCTGCTAAAGTACAGCGTGGGAGGCCTTTGTCCTCACGGATGTCTCCCATCAGCGGCTCTGCCTGGTGTAGTTATGTCGTAAAGCATGTGGTTGTAAGCTACGAGCGATGGGGTTACTCACGGGGCCTTCCTCGCCCCACTCCGTGTGCTCCCCGTCACAGCGGTGTCCCGGAAAGGCAGAGGGGTTCCCTCTGGAATCCCCCCAACAGAGGGTTGTATCCCTCCTCATTCCCTCGTCCTCCTGCCCAAGAGGGGGGCTGCTCCCGTCATCGCAGTGCCTGCAGCTCCACGTTTCACTGCTGCTCCTTTCCCAAGTCCCGTTGGTACGGACACAAGGATGGGCTTCTCCTCGCTGGGCCTTAAGTCCCCAGTGGGGAACACTGGGAGCTTGGGGATGGCTTCGTCCCTCATCCTGACGTTAAAACTGCTCCTAGTAGTGACCGGACCACGAAGAGCACATCAGCCAAAGGAGCTAAGTTAATGCCTTAACACAAATCCTCTCTGGGTCAGATCCTTTGGGATTTCCTCCCCGTTTTCCTAGGAATAGCATCTGCAGGGATACAGAAACCTTCACTGGACACTGCTGTGTGTTGTCAGCCAAAACAGGGAAGGGGTTGAAACTCTTTTCCCTGCCTGTATCCATTCTACCCTTTGCTGATCCCATTGTTTGCTTTCCAGCCGGCCTTAACTGTACTCAAACACTGGGAGAAGGTGCTCGGAAGGGCACAGTAACACTGGAGAGCATTCCCGGTGTAAATCCCTCCTCCGTTAACCCCCACTGCCATAGAAACCACCAGCTTCCCGCAGGCAGATGCTTTGGGCTGTCTGGAATCGCCTTGACTTGGATTAGTGGAACCTCAGCCTAAGCCCCAAACGCTCTTTAGGAAAGGAGAGGGGAGCTTCCCGCTTCCCAAAGAGCATGAGGAGCGCGAGCCCGCATCCCAAACGGCATGTCCTGGAGCTGTGCATCCACAGCAGCACCTTCTGGACGCACAGAGTGACACGCTCCCTGGCACCGGCTTCCCCTCTCCTGAAGGCCACGTCCCTGTGTCCAAGCTCAAATCATTCCAGCCCCAAGGAGCGCTCAGCAAACCCCCCCATCCATTGGAATTCCAAGGCCGGCATGCATATCGCTGTGGGAGGCTGGGAGCCCTGCCTCTGCTTGGCGTTTCAACACCCTGTTTGGGGTGCAGCTGATGAGCATCCCTCCCTCCCGCTCTGGCTCCAGGGCACTGAATGCCTGCTCCCATTCCAGATGCAAAGTGGCAGCATGGGAGCTATGGAAAAGCCGGGACATGCCCGTGTCCCATTCCCAAGAGGTCTGGAAGCAGAAGGACAGCTTTATCTCTAGGCTAACGCGTTCCTTGGCTTCTAAGCTTGAAGCTGACGCTGTGCTCAAGGCCAGGTCGGAGCAAGGAAGGTGCACAGAGCCAGGAGATGATCCCGGAGCACGGAACACGCTCCAGAGGCTGTCCCACATTCCCGGCCTCCTGCAAACAGCTCCCTTTGCCAGAGGGAAGCAAAGCCCCTGTTCATAGGGGGGGACAGGGGTGCTTGAAGAAGCACTCACACTGATGGCTGTGAGTCTGAGTGCTGCCACGGGGTCACACTGCACATGGAAGAGCAGGAATGAGCATGGATCATCCCCTTGTCCCTTGTTCCAGGGTCCTGCCACGATCCCACAGGTCTACACACTGAAACCAGCTCTTTAGGAGATAGAATTACCCTTCCCAGACCTGTTTGTGTCCCTGGGAGCAGGGACCTGCACACACCTGAGGACTGGGAACCTGATCTCCGGCTGGAGCAATTCCAGAGGAGGCCACGGAGCTGCTGCGCTGGAGGCAGGCTGAGAGCAGCTCCAGTGCCTAAAGGGGCTCCAAGAGACCTGGAGGGGGGCTTTGGACAAGGGATGTAGGGACAGGACGTTGGGAATGGCTTTAACCTGCCAGAGGGGAGCTGGAGATGGGATATAAGGCAGAAGATCCGGGCCTGCAAAGGCAACCCCCTTTCGATGGGGCTCCAGGAAGCAAAAGGGGCTGTTTCAAACAGCTCCATCACACCCCACTGCTGCACGCACTGATCCCTGTCCTTGCAGCCATTTGGGAATGCTCTGGGACAAGTGAGGACTTTCTTGTTTCATTCCAGGACTGTGCCATTCCGCTTCCAGACCCGGAATGGGAACTGGGGCTCCCTGTGTGAGAGCCTTCTGCTGGCTCAGAAACCAAAGTGATGGATAAACCATCTCCAGCTCCAGCCCTTCCTACTTATCCTGCTGCTGCAGTGTTCCTGCAGGAATTCTTGTTATGGAGGGATAGGAATAAAGCTGAGTCCTCTCACAGGCTCATGAAAGGTGTGGGTGGAAGGGACACTAAAGCTCATGCAGTTCCAAGAGGGACACCTTCCACTGCACCAGGTTGCTCCAAGTCTCGTCCAGCCTGGCCTTGGACACTGCCAGGGATGCAGATGCAGCTTTGATACCTTCCCTTCTCCTGTGGGATCCATTATGGGATGGAATTCCTGCTACAGCTGCCTGGCAGAGTAGTTTCTCCCCCTTTTAGCAGGGTAGCAAATCAGGAGTAGGCTGATACCACCGTACACAAGCGGGGCTCATGGTCCTAAGGAACGCAAAACGAGTTCTGATCACACGAGTAGCTGCAGGGAAGCACAGCACGGATCCCTTGGGATACAGGAGGTTTTGCTGCTGCTCCAGTCAAGCCAAGCCCAATTCCCTTCTCCCAGGGCGCCTGAAAGCAGCAGCTCAGCCCAAACGTGCCCTTCAGTGCACGCACCCATGCGAGACGAGAGCGAATCCGTCAGAGGCCAACCCTCCCAGCCGGAGATGCCCAGTGGAGCACATGAGGCGTGAGCTGAACCAGAAGGATGCTCCCTTCGGGCAAGAAGCATCCCATCACCAAGGCAGAAAACACGGAATCCCAGAGCGGGTGGCATGGAAGGGACCTTAAAGCTCACCCAGGGGTGCCTTCCCCTAGAGCGGGTTGCTCCAAGCCCCGTCCACGCTGGCCTTGAACAGGGATGAGAAGAGGACAGGCTTGCAACGCGTTGGAAGGACGGAGTAACCTTGCCTTTAGAGCAGACAGGCTCGGGAAGGAACCCCAGCCACCTCAGAGCCAGCAAGCAAGGCAGTGGGTGCTGCGCGGAGCTGCCGGAGGCCATGCGGTGGTGTGGTTCTCCATCTGTTGGCCGGAGGGAGGAGCAACAGCGGTCCTGAAAGCGGGCGAGCATAGAGGCACGGAGCTCCAGAGCGGGCTGGGTTGGAGGGGACCTTAAACTCCTCCTGTTCCAACAGGGACACCTTCCACTAGAGCAGGTTGCTCCAAGCTGGCCTTGAGCACTGGGGCAGCCCCAGCTTCTCCTTTCAACCCATGCCAGTGTCCCACCACTCTCCCAGGGAAAAACTTCCCAATATCCCATCTCCGTGTCCCCTCTGGCAGGTTAAAGCCATTGCCATCGACGGGCTCCTGATTTGGACCTAACCCTCGTAGTCGTTGCTGTGTAGCAAGAGTTCTGCACAGCACTTCAGCAGTTCTTTAACACGTATTTGTTCCCTTTCCGACCTGAATCATTCAGCAGGAAACAGGGAATCCTGTGGCTCCTCTTCCTGGCCATGTTTTATGCATAACTCTGTGTTTGAATCCCCCTTTCAAGTAGAGGGGCGGGGGGGGGGGGCTGAGATACCCATCAGGGTATTAACTCCCATCAGGGTATTAAGCCTGCGGTGAAGTTATGCCATCCCAGCGTGTGCTCAGCTTACTTTGGGCTGATGAAACAAAGCCCAACTGTCAGCTTGTGGAA